GGGTGGGGTTTTCAACCACGTTGAGTCAACATGGTCGGCGCATGAAAAGTAGGGGTAGGTCAGCCTCTCGTCACGTGCATAATCACGTGGATCTTGGACGAAATCCGTGGCCTTGCTGTGGCCTGGAAGCCCGCTCGCCCTTGCCAGTTGGGGGTCGGCGGCAAGACGTCACCGGACCTCCAATCTGCTGTGCCGCTTTCCGTGAAGGCGGCCCTGATACTTGTCGACGGAGATGTCATATTGTTTTCATTGTCCCGTAGCGATGCGGGGTCCAATGGGTCTTCCTTTTGCGTGGATTCTATTTTGTCACACTAAAAAATGGACGTGGCCTACGCTGCAATTTTATGTGTGTCAGACTACCTTATACGCTATGCGACACATTTCCAGATCACCAAGCCAGCAGGCACGAAGAGGACATGAGATGAAATCCTGAGTTCGAGTGCGAGCTGAGGCAGACAGCTGGCGCAGCTCGTCGGCTGGCATCGTACGCCGGGGACTCTCGCAAGAGAGGCTGAGATGGCATAACAGAGGGCATTGGTTTGCCAGCTTTGATGTAGCCAACTACCAGAGAGCCCGCCCTCTTGTTGGAGCGCGTTTTCGGCTGTGCCACTTGCAAGTTTTGTTCCGCTGGCCTTTCTTGTATGTTCAAAATTAGTTGTAGCACACAATTTCGCGCACTTGCTGCAGAAGACTTTCTCAATCTCTGAAGCTCGAATATCCGTCGCTTGATAAGGCGGAACGTGCGGCTACTATCGGTCAAATCCACGGGTGGACATTGAGGAAGCGTACTGGAAGTAAACAGAATACTGGAGAACGAAAGACGGGTTTGGTAACGAAGTGAAAATTGGCGTTTCATGATGACAAATTAAGTGAAGTGCATTATGCCCCCATGCCAAGATCCTACCATTCCCTACGTTGTTGCCTTCGCGGCCCTGACGTCACGGCGCAGTGGACATCTTACAATTAATTGAGGAGGTTTGACACGGAGCAAGATTCTTGCGTAAGCAACTAACACTTATTACGCATTGCCGGGCTGATTGATCGAAGCGGCTCATTGTACCTGACAGTCGTTTTTGGACAGATATTCTCTCCCCTGGCAGCCCTGGCATGGCACAGCACGTATGTTGAAGTGGCAGGAACATAAACTTGGGCGCCACGAGCTCCTAGTCGGCTACGAGCACGGTATATGTATAAAGATAGCCGACATTGACAATTTGCCCAACTGGTCACGGTGCCGTGGCGAGTTTGGGGACTTAGGAAAATCACAGTTGCGCCAAGATTTCATGAAGCTGTCAGAGGGAAGCGACTGGAATAAGGTGAGGGCATCGTGGTCGGTACTGTTAAATTCACCGTCGCACTCGTCGGAACGGCAGGCGGCATCCACGTGAAATCCAGCTTCTTAATATAAGCCTATAGCTTTGGAATTATTGCATTTATACGTAGCACGACTTATTACATAGTGGAAGTGATAAAGACAGAGTCAACTCTCAAGTCTCAATTTTGATAGAGTATCCGTCTCAAAATCTAGTACCTACATCGAGGTACGGGCCTCGTAGGCCGCCCAGCCCTGTTCCTGGTATTGCTTTGCAGCCCGGACACGATCCTCTGCAGAATAAATACCTCTTCCAGCAATGATAAAATCGGATCCTCCCCCAACAGCCGCCGCGGGCGTTTGATATTGCTGGCCCAATACATTGCCCGATTTGCTGTCGTTGACGCCTGTCGTGAAGATGACGAAATCTTCTTCGGTCAAGATAGTATCGGGACCTGCAGGACTAAGGCTGCGTGTGGCTACGAAGCCCATAACCACGCCGCCCATGCCCTTCTTTCTCGCAACGTCAACGCAGCGCTGGGTGTACTCGCCAACGGCGAGGCTGCCGGCCGTTGTCATCTCGGCCAACAAGAGCAAACCCCTCTCGCCACGGTATGGGAATGCCTCGTCGAAAATCACTTGCTCGAGTGCATCCACGACACCATCACCCCCGAGAAGACTTACGTTAACAATATCTGCCCATTCGGAGATGCGGAGGGCGCCGCCGTGGTATTGCTTCTGTACAGTCGTTCCTATGTCGACGAATTTACGGTCTTCAAAGATGAGGAAATTATGTTTGGCTGCAAGTTCCTTTAGCCCGGAAACAGTCTTGTCACCGAAGTCATATATAATATCGACGTGGGTCTTGAAGACGGCGATGTAGGGTCCAAGCTCTGCTCGTAAAGGCCGGGTTAGCAAGTCCATTACGAAGCAAGCGCACATGTGCTTACCGTCAGCACATTTCAGAAGACTATCCGTATCACTAAAGTCGGCCGAAATAATCAAATTTGACCTTTTACTCTCCGCAATCCGGAAAAGCTTCTTGGCGACAGGGTGGGGATGAGAAGCGGCCCGGGTAGAGTACGGCACTGTAGATTGGGAAGCCATGTAGAAAGATGCAGGTTTTGTCTGGTCTTGTGTAGAGAAATGGTATTGAATAAGAAGTAGCAGGCTGGAGCACATTGGCCCTTTATCTAAGCCCGTCTGGTGCCAACCCCCACCATTGGAGCGGCACAAAAAAACATTGATTCCATGCCGTTGTGTCACGCCGTCATTAGTGGGTGTGTTAGAAGACAAATTACACGGCCTACTATGCGCCGCTTGACCATGGTGCCTCCTACGGGATGGCTGAACAAACTTAGAGTTCAATTAACCTTCCGACACTACATGTAGAAATGGCTGCCTGGGTAGCAAGTCTCACCCGAATAAAGGCCGGTGCCCTCCCAAAGAACTTAAGACAACATTTGGAACCTCGTTGCGCATGCAAAGAATTCCAACTAACTCCCTTGAGGCTAGCTGACTTCTACCGAGAAACTAGCTTGCCCCCGCGGCTTTCAGCTTGGGTGCCACAACGGATGGTGACTCGCTTTTTCAAGCATGTTGGGCAGGCCCAACCAAGACTTTACTCCCCGGCCCTTTCATGTTGTGACTATGTTGCGAGAAAGCTTTCTGTCACCTTGCAGACGTTTTGATGCTCACCGCCTCTGCCTCTGCGTCACCTACTGTGCTGCGCCAGCTAGCCGTGATGAACCCGCGACTCATTTAAATGTTGTAAGTGATGCAGTTAATTCCGCGCATACAAAATGCCATGCCTAATTGTACACTCTATAGTACAGGTTTAACTCTCCCATACCTAATATCGTGATAATCTGAGTGCATTTAGACTGTCTAAATATCTCATTTCTATATTTCAAGGTAATCCTGGGGCAGAGACCATCTTGCCAAGGCTGGTATCCTCAGCAGTTTTGTTATGGGGCTGAGACGACTAACTGGGAAAGGGTTATCCCATCGTGTTTGACGGATTAAATCTTACACGCGCTGTATCTAATCATCTAGGACAGATGGCGTCATGCTAAATTGAAGCAATGATTAATTCCATTGAGATGACAGTTCATTGCGGCACCCTACTCTTCTTGAGTTATCAACAGTGATTCGGGTCAGTGGAAAGTTACACACAACTGTTGAAGGTCTTGGACTGAAGCCCTGAAAACCCGGCGCCCTCGCCATCACAGCTTTTAGTTTCGATGCCAACCGCAAGAGGAGTACTAGCTTCGTCGCTGAATTGTATGTGGGCCGCCCGGTTCTTCTGGGGATTGAGCCGCCGGTAATGTCGCAGCAATTCGACGAGACGTGAGTTTTCCGGCGGGTCGAGGCAGAGTGCGTAGTCAGACTTGGTGTCGGCAAGTAGAGGGTCAGGATCACGCAGCTCCTTGTAGACGCTGCATTGCGTACTGCAGTGAGCTTCAGTGAGCGACGCCTTTCCTTAAATCTGGGGTTCATCACGGACGTACACGTTCCGACAGCAAACACCAGCGCAAGCATCAGTGTCAAGGGCTAGCTCGAGTAGTGCCCAGTGAATGGCTTCGTTCCAGCCGGCCTCATAATCCATGCGTTCAGTCCGTTCTATGGTATTGTCTCGAACCTTTTTTAGACGCCGGTAGATATACACGTCGTCCTCGTCTGCGTTGTTTCCAATCCAGGATAGACTGTCTGCCACGCCGCTTGCAATCAAGTCTTGATCGCCATAAAACCAGCCATCTTGCGGTGGGTTCGCCCACCCAGAATCCCTAGTGAGTCGGTCCTTCCGAGCCTGTCAAAAAAACGGAGCTTTGTCGTCTTGCGGCAAGTTTTGTTGCGTACCTTTACAGAAAGAGGAATAAGACGCATGCCTCGCACTCGGGCGAGCTCCTGCATTAGCCGTGTAGGAATGTGTACAGATGAAATATCTTCCCGACAGATTGGAAAAGTTGTCGCCATCCGCAACGCCATCTCCCTCTTTCTAGGGCTTATGGAACGCTTCGTAGGCGAGCGCCGACTCGAACTCGTTGTCGAGGCAATATCCGACTGCAAATCTTGGTGGCTGAACTCGGAGCATTCACTGACTTGGAACACTTAGAGAGAAAATCCAGCAGTCAAAAGAGAGAAGTACATACTTAGCTTTGTTGGGGTTAGGTCGACATCTGGCGCCCACTGCCGCTTGGACGGCGTGAGTGGCGCTGCTGCCGTGTCATAAGAATCTGACGGTAGTTCAATCTCTGAGACCCAGTCGAGTATGCTTACCCCCATATTCACACCTCCAGTGCGCACGCAGCGTTCTGGGAAAAAAGGTGTAGCAATCCCACAATAAGATTGTACCTAGTGGAAAGCGATATATGCGCGAGGGGCAAGAGGTTGCGTTGCCTAGGCAACAACAAAGCATGCACTGTTATGTACGGATCGGTTATGTGGGATGCAAAGTAGTTACGAGTTACGGAGTACGACAGTACACATTGTGGGCTGTACTTGCCCCAATGTATAACTTACCCCACGTACCAATCCAGCCGAAGTAACCGCGATTGGCTGTGGAAATCGAACATGCACAACGTAGACTGTTCCGGCTCCCTGGACGAGTCGCAGCGTGATCAACGCCAGCACGTTCTAGGGAGGTATCTACCGCTCGCTCAAGCGTCCAAGCATTCTCGCGTGGCAAGACTTTAGAGTCGGCCAGATCTTTTCATGGACGAATCACCAAAGGTTCGCGAACTAGCTCCAACTCCAGCAGTACAGCTCAACGACCCATGTGACTTGCATAGATCAACAATTCAATAGCGCTACTGAGCGATGACTTCCGGTGAGAGCTATTGTTCTACGTTTGCCTCCTTGCAAACCTCAACTGCATCAACATATGTAGTGTTGACAGCGCTGTTTCAAGTTTGCTTGACACAACCATACGGACGTCCGTAACTCGGAATATCATTTGCTCACATCTTAGCTGTGACACGGGTGGTCAGGTTACACAAGGGCCATGTTCACGACCCCTGGTGTATTGTTAGGAATAACCTACTCCCAGACTTGAATAACTAACTTTGCAACTGCAATAATCTCGCAAGTAGAGTCGCTAGCCGACAAACTTTACAACCTCGTCAGTAATGTCGTACATGGGAAACTCGGTTCGGTTTCCAGCAAGCGTGCCAGGGACCTTATTGGCCGCATCGCCAAACCACTCGGTCGAAGCAAAGATGCGGTCGCCCATTTGCACAGACGCCGTCGTGGAACCACCCTCGCTCGCAAATCTGTTGGGCACGATGCCGAGCCATTCGGCACGTTCCCAGGTGCCGTCTCGAGAGCGAAGCACAATTGTTCCCTGGTCTTGCGAGGATACAAGGAGCACATTGCCGCAGAATCGCTTGGGCAGGTAAATGCCGTCGGGCCTGTTGGCAATGGGAGTAGTCCCATTCTCGCCGATAGGGACCACGGTAGGGTTGCCCTGATCTGCCGTCATGTCGAACCGCAACAGTCTGTGGCCTATATCTTCCGAGGCAAGAAGGATATTGCCCTTGGAGGCCAGTGCGGTAAGACCTTTCTTGGTGTGGTCGGTATCGTTGGTGAGGTACCACGCCTTTGCGTCTTTTCCGTCAGCGCCAACGCGGACGATGCTGCTCGGCCAGGTGCCAACGGCAAAGGAAGTCCCGGAGCTATCGTGCTCAATGTCCTGGAAGCCGTTGTACACGCCCTTGGTGACGGCCGTCAGGTTTTGCCGCCAAACCTCCTTCTTGCCCTGGAGGTCGTACTTGATGAGGAAGTTGTCCCCGGAGATGTCCTCGCCGCGAGTGTCGAAGGCGGCTCCGGCATTGACAATAACAGATAGGTAACCTAGCGGGTCAACCTGGACGCCGCTGGCGTGGAAAACGGCTTGTCCAGACAGCGGTGGGAACTCAATGATGTCGACAATCTTGTTCCTTATTGGCTCGTAGACGGCAATGGTGGAATTATACAGGACGCTATTTACAACGTATTAGCAGTTTACCTATGACTCTGTTTTTTTTTTGCTGGCCCGAGTATCCTGCGTTTTGTGTTTTCTGATTGTGTCCCCAATACTAAAAGTACCAACATACCTCATATAAGCCAGGCCGTTCTTGGCGTTGTAATCGATATTCTCGGGGTATAATTGATAGGAACTAACGACCCGGTCTCCGCTGGGTCCGGCAGAATCCCGAATGGTGCTGCCATGCGCAGCGGTCGCCGCCAAAAGTGGCACGAGTGCAAAAAACATATTCGTCTGTGATGAGTTTGACTTTGCTACACAACAATGTTCTTGTGGCTGGCTGATTCAAGTTGCAGCTTGACCTATTAATTTACAAGGACAAAATGTGTCAGAAATTTCGGCGCGAACGCTCAGGATATTTATTTACTACAAGACATGTTGCGTGTTTGGGCCGGACTTGAGACTTTAATGCTGCTGTAGGGCCGGGCGGGATAGCGCTAGAAGAGCTCTTAAGCCAGATGCCAAATTAGGTCATCATTATCGGTGTGTAAAGCTGCGTAATGTTTCATAGCAGACAAGGAAGCAGTCCGTTAAGTGAGGGTGTGTACGTCAGCTTCTGCTGTAGGCCGAAGCAACGGCAAGTTTGATCGGCACGCCGGGAGCTGCCAAGATGCAACTTGGTTGCTTGAGTACGCACTAAAGTAGTTACAGTAGCTTATATTGGCACCTACCCAAGCCTAGTCAAGTGCCGTAGTATTTAATGAGGATCCACTAGCGGAGAGTAGTAATTCAGAAGCAAGCCACAAGGATTAAAACCCAGTAAAAAAGCGCTATGTATTAGATACTCTACTCTGTTCGATTCCATTTCGTCTCGAAATAAAACTATCATTAGACAGCAGTCGCGTCGGATAGTAGTCGGCTCCTCTCCCCGTGCCCTAAAAACAACTCGTCTACCTGCGTGCTTAGATATCCTCTAGAGCGTCAGACCATTGACCCCGTGACCTGATACGAACGAGTGGGCCACGCTATGCTTATCCGGCAGTTGGAGCTGCTGGTGGGGAAGATCAATGCTTACTGACGTAATCGCACCCGAATTTCGGCACAGCTATCGGATCTGTCTAGCATGCTGCTTCCGGGACTAGGGCACTAGACAGTTTTCTTTAGACACGTCATCCCGATTCCAGCTAAGGTCCGATCGGAACGATGGCAATCGGCATGCATAAGACCTCTCGGCTTGACTCTGTGGCGGATCTGAGAAATTCCGTCTTGAGTCTTCCTCAGGGGTTCCTGCCGGCGGCTCTGCTTTGATGGCCGGTAGGGGTTCGACAATGCACCAAGATGTACAGAGTTATAGCAGTGAGCTAATGGCATTTACTAATGCCGCCAAGTTTCGAACCCTTTAAGATGGCTCAAGACATGCCGTGCTCTTCTGAGAAAGCAAGTCGAGTGTGCCGTCTCTCAGAAAATGTCTGTCCGGCATTTGAAACTGTCACAAGTCGTCAAACACTTTGGATCACGACGGCGAGACGTTTCTGGCACTAGCACATCGATTTGACACGACTGTTATGGGTTGCATTTGGAACCTAGTGTTTGTGGTTCTAGTTTGCAACATTTATGTAACTACAGTACCTGAACCGGCAATTATTTTCACACGTAGCAACGGAATCAAGTATAAGCTCGGAGGAGCACGGCCGCGACCGACTCTGTGTCGTCTCATTAAGAAGGAACAAGTAATAGTCGTAGCCCAACGCATCTTACCCCGAGATCGATCAAGATGGTGAGTAGAGGCGCACAGCGGTTTTCTCTCCAACTAGGAGTCAAAGAGCGCGATACGGGCGGTATCTGCTCGGTAACAAGATGTGTGATTCGTTTTCATCAACGTTGCAATAAGTGGTTCTCATTTACTCAGAAATTTGCCTATTGCCTTCCTGTAGCTATATACAGGTCTGTATGCACCAACACAGCGATTATGTACACACACGTCCACGATACAGGGGTTTTATGCTAGCAGTCACATTTATGCAACAAGTTTAGGACAGGTGGTTCTTGCTAGTGACATGATTCACAGTTTCCCCTGAACAAAGAGTCACCCTTTAACGTGTTGCAACTATCCAGCCTAGTCTGCATAATAGATAAACTCCCTTCGCTGCGTCTTTATTCATGTGAGTTCAGAGACACCGCCACTGACAGACCCCCAGTCTAGAATCCTCATGCATTTGCGGTGACTTCTACACTAGGTACAACTTCTTTGCTCAGGAGTACACAGCCTCCATCGCCAATTGTACAGCAGTCATGGAGATGAGCACATTCCCCAAATCGGTTCTCTTTTCCTATTGCTCGCAAGACCATCATCGATCGCCACTATTCGAACCACAGCTTGCGAGGGTCTACAGGCGCCAGGTGGTATGCTATTCTTCATGAAGTATGTGAATATAACGCGGTTGTGAAACCGCCGTCAAAGGCGTCTACTACCGGCCAAGAATGGCCTTTTCGTGGCGACTGCATCTCTGGGTAACATTCAAGTCGGTCGATCTGCCTTCCCTCTTTCTCTATGCTACGCAAGAATGAACTTGGCAACCGGGGCAAGAAACATTGAGAGACACATTTTTAATCTTTAAATCAGTCTGTTAAAAGTATTCACCATAAAAAGGAATACTTGAAAGTCGTAGTTGCTTTGCTAGTTATATTCATCTGTAACTCAAGTCCCAAGCTGACATATTTACAACTAATGCGATGCATAGCGCTAGGAGTGTTTGAGAGTTTCACAAGTGCTGGCAATGTCTGGGAGAGTGACAAGCGTCATAGTAGCACCTCGTCTTATAAATAGTAGATTGAGACAAAAAACCATGCTTGCTGCCCTGCCGAGGATAATTTCCTACCTGAAGGCGGCTCTAATAGCTGTTGAACTGTGTATAGTAACGTGACTATTAAAGAGAGCCATCTTATGCCATGAGAGCGTTCCACGGGATAGCGTTCCCCAGGCTGTTTTTGTTAGATTACCCGAAATATCTTCCATGGCAACAATGTGTAACTAAAAGCTCAATCTCAAGTTCCCTTTGTGGGTGCTGTTCGCCTATTATTCCCTTGGGAGAACAAATAGTGCCTATAATTAACGAAACTATTCTCGGGACTAATAGGCGTCTGTTCTAGATTGCGCGCAATGACATCGTCCAAGACGACTGCAATCCTGCGATATATCTGCTTTCAATGTCCTGAAGTACATTCTCTAGGTTGTTAGCCCTCAACTACACATTTAATGACATAGAGTTTGACTCGTGAAAATCAAGATGAGGACTCGACCTGAAGGCGTGGAAGTCTGCGAGCTTTGACCGGAGGCCATAGCCAGAGCCTCAGGAGAAAGGAATGTCAACAAGAAGATTCGCTATTTCCTGTTGGTCAAAATATCCGGAGTGAATTCTGGAAAGTGTCGTTGCGACGACGCCCTTTCGTTTGAAAACGGATCGGGGGGGCGATCAACATTCGCCCTGAAACGATGACCTTGATTCAAGTACTCGGAACGCCTGTAGGCTTTTTTGGATACTCCTCCGTCCGGACTAGGACGAGAAGTAATTAGAACCGCCAGGGCAAGTGGGTTTTCACAAATTGTTTGGATAAAGATGCAATCTCAACCCAATAAATTATAGTCAATTATAACTAGAGAGCATTTTTTTCATTGCAGATTCGAGCTATACACGTCCTTCCTTCTAGTCGTAGCTCGTTCTTATTTTGACAATTTCGCCGGCCTACTAGATAACTGGAATAATTGCAAGGAGCTCTTGGAGGCTATCACCAATTACACACAGCACATTCGCTACGCCACTGGATTTAATGGGAAACGCGCATGAACACATGATTTGCAGGACACGGCCTAAGCGGCTTGTAAATCGCATTGATAGCTTCTACCACGTTTCGGGCGTCTCCTTTGCAACCGCCGCGGCTTGGCGGACAAGCTATAGCGGTCAGATTCAACGAGGTGCCTCACCAGTGTAGTGTGGTGTCTACTTCAACAATAGTGGTAAGCTAAAAGTAATGTCTCGCATTATCCTCTTAGCAATTCTTTCCTCAATATAGGAGAAGCATAGACGAGCCTTGGAACAATGTTCGACCTTGCCCGTGAGAACAGCGAGCAGCACTTGAGGTACAATGGCACAGCAGAACTCCTCTTGCAAAGAATCGTTGTTTGAACAGCCGACAAACGGCGGACAGCTTGAAGCAGCCACGGTTCAAGCGATTTCGACCGCCATTCCAACACGGATAGTACGAAATTTTGCACAGACTTTGGCCAAGGCGTTAATGGGCAAAGGTAAAGCATACATCCGACCATAATGCGATGATGTTCTGTACCCTAGGGATCAGTATAGCAAACTACTTCTACATGTTTTCTAGGCAAACTCTTTGTGCGATAATTTGGCGGCAGCGGCGACCAACTTGCTACTAGATACCAACTCTTGGAGTTGATCTATTCGGTGGAACAGGATGCCCTGTGTTTGACGCACGTATCGCCACCTGCTCCGAGAATTAATACAAGGAATTGAATAAATGCCTTGCTCCAAGAGCATTCTTAGAAGTGTAGAGCAAGATTGTACTATCATTATAGCTTGGTTTTAGCGCTCCACCTGTTGTGACATAAGGGTCTAAGAACAAGTCACATAGAATCTCAACTATAGCGTCGATTCCCCGAGGGACACAAGTTGCGCGCACGAGGAGGCCACTATTCTAAAACTACTAATATTTTCAGCTATGCACTTGCCTGAGTGCTCAAAAAAGAGACCATAAGTTGCGGTACAGAGGAAAGACAAAAGGCACTTCTCTCGCGTCCTGACTTTGCACGCGTATTTCAAGTTGCTGGTAAAAAGTTTTGTCAGCAAGCTTGCTTAAAAAACGGCGAACCTTTTGCAGACAACCCCAGTCAACTTACATTTACCTCCATATGCAACAATAGCCTTATTAAACGCGGTATCAAGATCCTTGATAATACCGGGAGCAATCGCCTTCTCCAAGACGTCTAGCTTATCCAGCACCGCGGCGCCAAAGGCGTCGGTATCCTGCTTGAGCTGGTATAGACTGGAGAGGACAACAACAGAAAGCCCTTCAAGAGCGGATTTCTGGTCTGCAATGTCTTGAAGAGTAGTCTTGACTTTTGGCGACAAAGCGATAAAGTCCAAGCCGATGTTCAAGGAACCCTGAGCGCCAAATGGCGCCGAAGCGTTGGTATCGTCAATGGAGGCAAGCAGACGCTTATGGATATTGACAGCGTCTACTTGGACTTGAAGCGCCTGCGCGATGCCTGCCGAACCTGGCTTAACGAGCTTCGCGTTGCTGTCGAGATCAGCCATCAGGGCGGATATGTCGGCAATATCATCTCTGACAGTCTGGACGTCTGCTGCTTGCACACTAGCTGTGCCGGCAAGGGCGATCAGAAAGTTTGGGAACCTCATGGTCAGATGTGTAAAGTGAATGAAGGAGTTGGTGATGCGAGTTTGGGCGCGAGGAATGTAGTTGGGGAAACACAATGGTGCCTTATACCAAACAGTCCAATGTCTCATGTTTTGTCACATTTGTTTCCTGCCCAGAACCTCGGCTTGCGCTTTCAACTCGCCGTCTTCTGGCCTGACTGTGAGAAACCGACCCTTGTACAGTGACGGAGATCGAAATAAGCGAATGTGCCTTGTGCCCCTGTCCTCCAACCCAGCTTGACCTCGTTGCAACCCATTGCGCGCCCGCACAGATTGACGGGGTTGCTAGCGTGACTTAGCCTCAAATGTGCAATTTACATCTGATACGAGAATTGTTACCCCAGATTTGCAGTCCCGGCAGTTTGGAATGTCAAAGGTATCGACAGCGGAATGTTATTACCCAAGTGGTATCTTCAGTTTTATCCTGCTTGGGCAATTGCGCAAAGCAGCAACTCACCTCGTTATTTCAACAACGAATTTTGCAATCACCAACGGCTGTCTCAAATTCATCACAATGCTCCTCGCTATCGCCGCTGCTGGATTCTTTCCATTGTTGGTCCTTGCGCAACAGCCCGGTACGCGAGGCCTCATTTTGCCGAGCAAGACACTCGAACCTCGCTGACTGCTCGTAGTTTCCCCCGACGTATTTGACAAGATTACTCGCTACACTGCTTTTGCAGCCGCGTCCTACGATGACCACTGCGCAAAGCCGCCGTTTGGGTCCAGGATTGTCACGACCTTTAACGATATCGCGACAGATACGCAGGCTACTCTTTTCCGCGATGATGCTGCCAAAGAAGTGATTATTTCCTTTCGTGGAACGTCTACCCCAAAGGACCTGGACTCTGATCTCGCCTTTGGTCTCGTGCCACTGTCCGCCGCCGGCACGAGCTGTTCTAGTTGCAAAGTATGACCCCTCTTGTAGGACGTGTGAGAGGGGAGAATGTCCGAGTAACAATTTTCAACAGGTTCATGAGGGCTTTCAGTCCGCATTCAACGCAATCTCTCGGCAGGTTATGTCCGCAATCAAGTCTGAGCTGTCGTCTGATTCGCGTCTCATTGTGACTGGACACTCCCTTGGTGGCGGCATCGCTGCCATCGCAACGTCATCGCTTATCGGCCAAGGCATTCAAGTTGCAGAGACGTATACCTTTGGCGAGCCGCGAAATGGCGATGCCCAATGGGCCAAGTATATCGCTAGGCAGATTCCCGACTCCAACTACTACCGCGTCACGCATTCCAACGACGGCGTGCCCCAGATTCCACCGACCGTGCTTGGCTACGTCCATCACGGACCCGAGTACTTCCAAAGCAGGGACGCCGGCAACACGGCTCGAACCACTTTCAAATGTGGCCCAGACGCCAAGGTGAGTTGTCATGCATGTTGAAGCATCCCGGGGCTGTGCTAACAAGAAGCCTTAGTCCTGTAGCGCAGGCCAAGATTTTGGGTCCAACCCCATTAACCGCTCGCATCTTACCTACAGCAACACTATTGTTGGCAGCTCGCTCTTTGTTGCTGCGTGCGGTGCAGTGTTCCCATGAACCTCTTCGTCGGCCTGACTTTGAACGCTGCGCGAGAGCAGAACACTAGTCTTTTCAGGCAGGTTGGCCAGTTGCTTAGTCTAGCTCTAGTGATGACAATAAAAACAATGTACATCGAGAAGCGTCGCGTTATTAACGACACAGTGGATAAAACTCTCCATGTCATGTGCAACTACCTATTTCTCTGCGCAACGTTGGAGCTAATGTGCGACCGTAAACTCACGCAACCCTGGGACACGGGTGGAGAAAACACGCAATGCCACTCAGGGGCCGAGTGGTCAAGTTGTTAAGCAAGCACGGATGAGGGTTGCAACAACTAGCAACCCCGCGACCAGCTAGCCAGGATTAGGGAAACATCGGGACGGCAACGAGCAATAGCCGCACATGTGAATGGATACATGTGACAATTTAGGTCGAGGTAATCTAGTGGCAAAATTATTCAGGAGCAACTAGCTTCTCACCGAGGCTATTAGTGCTATTCCAAGGTGCGGAAAAGAGTGAGCCGTCATTATTCTTGCATCAGGACATAATGGGCTGGCTCTCCTTCCTTGCATTCATCACATGTGGCGTTGGACTTGTGACACCGAGAAGCGGCTATTTGGGGCCTTCAGGTAACCTATTAGTTGCTTTTGTGAGCCGGCGCATCTCCTCTCACGTCGGCGGTTGTCTTTGCATCCTCACAAGTATTGCCACAAACTCCTTGTCATCTTGTCAGCATAGGTCTTTGTCACACAGAAAAATGTTATTCTCTACTCTTATCAGCTCGCTCCTCGTCACTGTAGTCACTGCGAATCCAACGCGTCGCGATGTGACAAGCATCAAGGCGGCTCTCGACGCCATCTCCAGACAGTTGGTGACCATGAATGCCACCTTGAATGGCTTCAATGGCGGAGCCGAAGGAACTCTTACGGCGCTCAAGATACAAGGTCAAGCCATGGACCTCCAAAAGGATATTCAATCTGGCACCTCGGCCGCGAAGAGCTCGGGTCCGCTAAACGATCGTGATTCTTCAACCATCGCCTTTGGCATCACGGACCTCACGGGTAAAATCTACGACGTGCTGGACAATATTATTACCAAGAAGCCTGCATTTGACACGGCGATTTTCGGCGTTGGGTCTGCTTCGTTTCTTGTCAGGTCGGATTTGCAAAATTTAAAAAATGACACCGATTTGTTTGGCGCTGCAGTCACTGAAAAGCTTGTCAAGTCTGTTAGAGACGTCTCGCCCCTGGTCATTTCAGCAATCGACTTTCATTTTGACCAGGCACTTAAGGTGTATGCCTAACTGATTGTTCACGGCGCGGCACGTGGAGGCAACCGGAGGGAGCATATATTAAGGCAGCTTATAGTAAACATGAATGGGCAATTACGTTATTTCATTAGAGCTTGTCTTTGAAATCACCCGTGAATAGTGTATCAAGTACATGTTGGTATTAAAATGCGCTTCTTTGAGGCTAAGAACTTTTTGAGCGGAAGACTTGCAACGCATTGTAAGAGTAGCACCAAGCAAGCAATTGACTTAATATTACAGCCCACAACTGCCTGTTGGCAACGAAAAGCGCCTTACCGCTTAATAGGAAATACTGCTTGTTAAAGCTTCCCAGCACTAAAAAACTAGTCTATAGTGAATGCAAGAGTTGCATTGCTAGGCGCACAAGACGCAATAACCTAAAATAAGCTAAAATGCGAGACAGGTCAAAACAGATACACGTTATGTTGGAGTTTTCAAATGAAGACTATCTCTGTCGACGCTAGCGCTCTTACTTCTACTCTTCCAGCATGGCATCACTCCTAGCTAGCAAAAACCTCCAGATGGGGAGCCTAATTAACTCTGCCTATTTGCTCGAACAGGATATTAACACTCCCGTCGACCCTGAGCAATTGAAAGAAGCTTGCCCTGTCCTTTGTTTTTTGAAGTTATCTTACCGAGGGTTAGAGCTAGAGTTAGCACCTTCTATTAAGAGAATACGCACTGCTGCTGCTCCAATACATTTTATAAACATGCATGCAACTATAGCCGTATCACGTTAGCTATAATCGGAAAAGGGGCCTTCTTTGCGTGTAACATTAACGTGCAAAACGTGTAATACTAACATTTAACGCAGCTTGAGCTCTTGTAAGTACTAGGCTTGCTACGCAGCCTGTGGTATAAGATCAGCAAGAGAGTGGTCCAACTTGCGGCAGGCTGACGTTGGAAACATTGTGTCCTGCGAAAGTTATTTCGCATGTTGTGTATGAATACTGCCAAGTACCTATTTTTCTCGTATTATCAGCTGAAAGCAAAATGTATTAGTTGGATTTATAGCCTTAAATCTGTAAATCTGCATTTTTTTTCCAAGCTTAAAGAAAGAAATAGTTTCAAGTTAGTGGGACTTAGCTTTGTTTGTTTTGACGCCACGTGATACAAGTCTTTTTCTAGCAACTAAGCAGCCATAAAGCGACACACTATAACTTACTCCTTGTCTCTTTGGCCGGGGTCGCTCTAGCACGTCCCTTACGAAGCGACGGGGTCATCTGCAATGAAAATACAGAATTTTGGGATGCAAAAGAGTGCAAACCTATCCGTAATGGTCCGCTGCCTGACCCCGCGCTGGGCTTACTACCACCTTACGCGGACCCATGGGCTCAGAACGTCGACAAGGAGCACGGCAGCGACGATGTCAGCAAGTCTAAATGCAAAAAGGGCGTTATCGAAGCACATTGTGACTCCGAAAGCAAGAATGACGACGGGGCTGGTATAGCAAATGCCTATCGATGAATCCCAGAATACACCAAGCACTGATGTCAATGACGCTCAAGCCGGTGCTGGATATCATGGCTGGGCCGACGATAGCAACCGCTAATAGCACTGCTCTTTTCGCCTGCTACTAATTTAGTATCACACTGTAGTGATCGATGACAAGCTTTATATTGACGGCGGCAAGGTGAATTTCAAAGTCTCCCCACAAAGTCACCACGACTTTTCCGGTGCGATTACCGTGTAGAGATACAGCGTTAGATTTAGACGCGGACGAAGAGTCACAGTAATATATAGATAGCGAGGCATTGAGACACTTTGCTGGTATATTATGATAACATCTCGATAGTTTGTTGGAGCTTCCCTCACATGGGGAAGCCACTATACGTAATGCGTGGGGCCCGTCAGCGATTTACCACAGACGGGAAAGAGGACATTGTAAAGCCTTAATCTCTCTTGCCAGAGTGGGAGGATGATGGGCAACCGCCGAACCAATAAAAATTATTTACGTTTGGTATTTTTAGTATCACCACAATAAAAGAACGAATAGACTAGACTGAGTGGGAATAAGAAATATGTGCAAGTGACATGCCTCGGAATAAGCTAAGTTCCGCAGTGTAATGTATAAAAAAGACCCACTGCGCTTATCAAGTCGCCAAGAAAAGCTTATAGAGCACCGTAAAAGCAACGCGTCAAACTGTGATCTATGTGTTGTGGCCTTATTTAATAGCACAAGCATAAAATAACGGCCGCGATTCTTCCAAGTTTTCTCCTGTAGTGTGTCAAGAATGTAAGCCTCTCTTTTGACGTGGAATAACACCAGGTCTTCTTTTCTTTCTGGCAGGCTACCTGCAGGGTACACGCACGCTATACTTTGTTGTCCCAGCTCGTCAAACAAAGCTGTTGGACCTCTCACGCCCGCCGTCACGCCCGTTACTATGTCTAACCAGGTTCTACCGATCCGCTGTCCCCATGGCTAAACTAAGCCAGGGGTCAGGGCAGATAAACGTGGCCGAGGAAGAAATATTAACAACGCGAGACAGCACAGAGGAGAGGCTCAGCCTTTAGCATAAACGAGCTAATTGATCCCGCCCGCAATCAATACAACTAAGTGGGGAGCCTAGCATGGAGTTTCCCCGATACGAGCGCAATATACTGTGGTGTTAAGACACGAAGACAGGGAAAGGTTCTCAAGCCGGCGGATTGCAATTGTGACATCATTGAGTACAAGCGGGTGCGGTACTTGTCGCGTGCTACTTCTCGGACTGACAGCCACTCATAGAGGTCAACAGGTTTTAGCAAGCCAACGAACAGTGTATGCACGATGAAGTCGATATACTAATGTAGCAGTCTACGATTTGCTGCTGTTGCCTGTTTAATAAAAAAAGTAAACGCAAGAGTCAGGCAGATGTGTATACGTACTGCACGGGGTAGAAGCACAGTCCTCCTCCAACTCGAGTCATTCGAACTTGTGACCCAGTTCTATCGGGCACACGTGGGCTGGCAATCGAGCTAAGAATGTAGACGTCGGCGTCAGGGATTATTCTTTCGAGTGAGCGCATGATGTTGTACGGACCATAGGTCAGATGATAATTCAGCGCCGTTGGGCGTCTGCCCTGGCTTCGCTCTTTGTAATAGATCGAGTTACATAACATGTCTTGACTTTTCCGCGGAAAAAGCTACAAAATTGAAAGGATTTCATTGACTTTATCATGGTATGAGAACTACTTACGCGAAAGAGCGTCGTGGAGTTGTAGCTGCGCCCGTATTGCGGCATTAACCTATAACCGAATACCCCTGAGCATAGTTTTGTGTTATAGAAATAGCGGTGCACTAACGTGACGTCTAGTATTTCAATTACGCGAGGATAGCACGCCATAAGTAGAAGTAACAGCTACAACTTCTTGGCTCTAAATATCTTGCTCGGGCTGCTCAAGTTCTAGTTGCAAGTCACGCACCTTGGTACTCAATAGAACCATCCCCCACCTGTTATAGCTTCGCTCTATATACATACGTATAGCTTTTCTTTTTATCCCTCAGACAACTGACACCGGACGTCATTATGTTGGTACCACAGGCCTCACGGGCGTTCGTCACTTGCCTGCTATGGCATGCAGCCGTAGACGCACTACCCACGTTTGCAATCTCGATGGAACCCCACGCGACTATATATTTGACAGTTCCAGAAGGTGCTCATGGCTTAGGGTCACCCGCGGATTTCAGAGCTCAAGGTGGAATAAGTAACGACCGGCTACCTGTGCCTGGCGAGGAAGCAATAATCGCAGAATGGCAGCGCCTTCGAAATATCAGGCCCGACGAACCCGACCACTCAATCGGCATGGAAGATCTTGACGCTGTGCTTTTGGACGATTTGCAGTCTATTGGCGGTGTCAACTTGCCATACAGGGCATGGCACTACATCAGTCCGCTCGAGCAGCAAACACCAGCGCCGCGAGTATGGATATACGAAATTGCAACAGGACCAAACACGCTGATTTTTCCGGGGGAGCCACCCCGTGTTCGAGGTATTGGGGGCATAGTCTGGTCACAGGTGACACGTGTTACAGAACTCAGCCTATCTCATCCGAGCATCAGAGACCATGTGGAAGATCTGACTGACGATACTCCCTTGTATCCGCCCTTTCTAAATTCAGTTGAGTGGACGTGGATGCAAAACCCCGACTATGACAGAAGATGGGAAACGTATGGTGGCGTTCAGGGAATACCTTTTACTTTCTTCTCTGATCCCCCAAGATCAGCTACTCCTCAGGAGGTTCGGGACGTCATGACACTCGTGACGAGCAGCCAGCTGTTTCCTGACCAGGCAAGGCGGCAAGTATTGCAAGAGTTGCTTGATTGGAATGTTGAAAGAGAGCCTCACCGCAATTTTCCTCTACTTCGCCGCGGTCAACGTATGTTATCCATCCGGGCCACGTGTCACCGTTGCTAACTCAACGCAGCTCCTAGGCTTGATACTTCAGCACTGTCGCAGATTGATTGGTCAAAAGTGCAGATCCCACCACAAATACAGATGGCCTTGTTATCAGGGCTTGCGAATGTCGCCCAATGTGGCCAGGCGTTGCGGCTGTTTAAGAATTTCTTCTTGGACGAGGGTCCAAAGAGGGAAAGAAGAGGGCAGAAGGGCGATGCTTGCAACCAACTAGCTGATTTTATCAAGGACAACAAAGGCAACCGGAACATCTCGCAACCGTTATGCCAGAAGATCAGGAAGATAGAGCTTACCATCGCCTTATCTGACGAGTTGGCCGAAGGAAGTTGGGATCAGATTGGCGGAACTCTCGAAGGCCCAGCTGGCAAGGCTGAATTTTTCTTCGCGGAGGCCCCAGACGCAGGGACCCAAAAGACTATTGCCGTGGATGTTAGAAAGTACTTTAAGTCAGATGAGATTAACCTTGACGGTATTGATACGATGACTATAAACGCGCAGGGGATATTTTCCAACTCATGGAATGCCTTGAGAAATGACGAGTTCAAGATCAAAGGTACGATGATCTGGGTAGAAAGCGCTGTCTAAAGACTAATTTGTATATGCATAAAAAAACACAGACATTATTATCCGCGCAGAATGTTCTGATCCTACGTTTAAAGCCGAAAATAACAAGTACGTTGGGATCAATACAGCGTACCAGCATCCTGGCCGCGAATCGCTTTTTGACTTCACCGGGCCTTACACAAAAAAGACTGTCGGCACATTAAAGATCAGACCCAGTGATTGGTCTTTTAATCCTCCTTGTACTGTCATCAAGGACCTGACCTATCACTTCATGCTAGCAGATGAATTAGGTGGCGGAACTTATGACAGCATTTACTTTACTCTTGGACAAGGCAAAAAAGTTGCCCTTGGCAGTGACTTGGGTCGAGGTTTCTCTAAGAAGGACGCCATCAACCTACAAGCGATATTTGGCTCAAAAACCTTGGACCTTCGCGACCTTGGTAGCGTCACGTTATGGGACGACTCTAGTGAAATCCCGTTCTTTAACAGTGACGAATGGTATTTCAAAGGTGGGTGCTGCCAAGACGCTTCTTATTCACCCTGTGTACTAATATACCTTTACTGCACTTTAGGCATAACATTCTCAGCAACCTGCACAGATGTCTCCAAGACTGTGGAAATGAGGAAGTTTGAGTCGGTCTACGCAAGACTCCAACGTCGAGACAACGCAGTGGTTTGGTCTGGCGACGTCAGCCCAAATGACTGGCTAGGAGTAGCCTGAGGAACTACGACAACAAAGCTAGAACAAAAAATCGGTTTAGGCTCAACCAGAAAGAAGGACTGCGGCTTCGTAAAACTTGACTTGCTTTCACACCTTATTGCTACAAGCTGGGGTTCTTTAACTTTTTTTGTAGAATCTTTTAGACACTTAATAGCTTCTTTTAAAGCTGTCAATTTTTAAATCATTGACGGCTTTGACTTTGGGCCGCAGAGTAGACGGTTAGGTTGTTGGCAATGCCGACTGACATCTAGGCGGCCTAAATGGGAGTCCTCAAGAGAGGCCTCGTTGAAGTCTTTGGCAAGTGATGTTTCAGGAACTAGTTTCGATGCTCACGACGAGCGCCACGTCGGGCGAAGAAGACACGGAAAATCTGGTTTGGTAGGTTGCAAGAGCTACAATCACCATCCTTGCGTTCTCGGCCCAATCTACCTCGGCGGTACTGGCTGCCGTCCCGGCGACAGCGGCGTCAACATCCTCCGCGAGCCACGTTCGCACCCATGGCAATGCGCAACAATAAGAGAGCAGAAGACCAGCTTGTATAATTCGAATGGGTTTTAATTATCCTGTGCGGGGGACTGATAACAGGGATTAGAATGGACTCGTTCCGCTTGTGCTAGGGTTAGGGTCGCAAAGATTCTTGGTTCCCTGAGGAACCTAGGCCCCAGCCTCTATGTATACATGAGCAGTGTACTTGATATCCCCATGTATCCAGGATGCCCCTGTTTTGGGCTCATGGGCTCGTGATCACGTTGAGTGACCGTCGTTCGCCGACCCCAGTGGTCAAGGTGGCCTAAATGTATAACACAAGCATCCCACAGTAGTCATTCTCCCAGTTACATGCAACAGTCCGCGAAGCTGCCGCAAATGCATCTTTTTGAAATAAGTCGTGTTGAATTTTTTTTATCATGCAAGTAACAAGGCGCTAAACGCCTTTGATAACTGCTTCTGGATTATGGCGGCCCTTGCAACGGTCCCCGCGTTGTAAAGGATGAGGTGCGAAATCTTTAGGTCTTTCGACCAAGGCGGAGAGCTTGGTCGACTATTGGGGATTCCAAAAAGCCCTGCGATAATTCTATACTATTTTTAGGGCCTACATTGCCAGCTTCAACGCTCTGGGTTACACTTTGGTGGAAATCCTCTTCCGATAAGCGGTAAGTAGCCAACAGCGACAACACCGCCAACATTAGCGGCTGTGGCACCAAGGCCACGACTTCTTCGTCGCGCACCCAGAGCACACATTACATGTTGGATGCAGCACGGTGAGCCTGACCCGGATTCCCGGTAAGGCAGTCGACGGAAGAGACGAGGATGAAAAGCTGCAATGGCTTTTCGTGGAGTATGCGCACAGGCATCTTGCATATATAGCTCTTGTTGTTCGGGTTGGATTTAAAAACTAGGCACGCAGTAAGATGAATCGTGTCCAATCAAACACATCAATATCTAATGCCAGGAATACTGGCATCAATGTGCAAAATTCGGACGAATCAGTCCGTGTTGATGACAACATATAGGGCCTGTTTGCTCGCTTGCCGTCGCGTCCCTAACAACGATGCGAAGGACCAGGAAAAGGGCAACTGTGATGTCGAGTTGCACAACGCACGCTCCAAAGTGAAACATGTAGGTGCTGGAAACCATGGACCTTGAATGCTTGAGCAGCTCGGACAGTTTAATCAAGCTGCTGCTCTAGGCCTTGTGGCAGTTGTCACGTACTGATCCAAGCCCTATGGAACATTATTCCCGTGAAACGAATGGAACACATAATGATCTTGCTAGGTCGTGGTTGATATAGTGTCTGTTTGCAACAGTGTTCTGTAAGTTCCCAGCAACCTCGCCCACCTTGTTTTCCTGACATTCTGTATCAGGTCCTTGTTGTACCGGAACGACACCTCCAGCAATGTCACAGGCAAAGGTCTAAACGTTGTGTCTAGTTGGTGTTCCCGCTGATGGGGAGTCTCGGTGCGCCTAATCGCCGAACATTCAGATTTGGGAGCGTATTGTTTATGCTCTTCTAAACGAGACATTCGAGACGCTATCCGCTACGATCAGCGGCGTCTTCCCAGCTTGCAGGACTGTAGTGGGCTGTTGCCCTGACTATTTGCAGCTAAAATTGTATCCTGAGGAGGATATCGTACGGCTTTGCGACGGGTTTGAACTCCAAATCATAGATCTCCATGAAGGCCTCAGCCATACTTTGTACCGTGGTGTAGTCAAAACAGGATCGCGACCTGGGTAGATGTCATTGGTTGTCCAGTTCTCGACGTCGCTAAAGATAATTTCACCACTTATCTTGGCTGAGAAGGACTGCGGTGGTCGCCATTGCAACATTGCCTGGGACGGCTGGCGACGCAGTCATGCCGTCAGTGGTAAGTTTGCAGCCGATGGATGGCTTAACTAGAAGAATTTGAAATATTCCCCAAGCAACGTGAAACCACCAGTCATTGTGGGATGGAGAAAATGACGTCACGGACTAAAGAGATGTAGCAGCGTGACGGGTACTGTATCTAACTTGAGCCATGAAATGAAAGCCCTGCAGGTCAGCATTCACCATTTTCGACTTGTATGCGTGCTCCGTGGGTACTGACATGTAGCAGCCGTGTACAAGACTACTCTGCTGTGCAGTGCTACTTTGTTACTGGCGTCTCGTAAGAGTTGTATCTGACAACTAAGTGCTTGGACACATCAGAGCAATCTACCTGTCGATAAAGTGGACTAAGATTTACCGTTAGACAAGACGATTCAAGGTGTGCCAGTGCAGTCGAGACTTCAGGGCATTAGGACAGAAGGAGCTGTAGCTGGGGTATTGGAATTTAGTGGCCATCACCCAAGTAAGCAAGAGAATCAGCAACTTGACGTTGCGTACAGTCGCTGGATGAAACTTGGACAACACTGTAGCTGTAGCTGACCAAAATTTGCACTAGATGAGAAAAAACCCAACTAGTAGTATATAAGAAGCTATAGCTGGTTGCTTTGTGTTGGCAAAACTAAGTGGCTGCTTCCAAGGTGTCAAGACAAAGTTGAAACTCGTCGTCGGATCCCATGAACTAAAAGAGCGTTTTCCCTAGCGCTTGGAAAGGCTCCTCGCAATCTTGAGATGAGACTCGCATCAGCCCATTTGCGCAGTCGAGTAATCCTATAGTTTGTTCACGACAGGCCATATTGCTGCCACGACAAGCAATACAACTGCTTTTGGCAGGCTTGTAGGTCTTGGGCAAGTCTCATGACAACCACCGACACTAGGTTGACTGACCGTACGTCCACACCCTGACACGGAATGATCTGGCGTAATGTACGCCAAGTAGTGCACAGCACAAGCAGCTGCCCCATACGGCAACGACTGGCATGGAAACCTCGCGAGGACTCTTGTTGACGAATAGCAGCGCTCGCAAAGATCTACGCCCGAGCAGTCAAGACAACTGACAACGTGCACGAAGGCGGCTGTGAACCAAAAGGTGCCGCACGACTCCGCGCACAAACTACCTGTCTAGAAAACTTCCCTTTTGTGCCACGCATGGCAGCGCGTCCTGATGGTCAGCACCTCGCATGGCTGATGACGATCACCGATACCAGCTCCACTATGACGCTCCAATTCTATGCGGATTTTGGTCTGGTGTGTTGCTTGGTCGCCCAGAAAAGCGGAGAAGTGATGCTTTTGAAGTTTTGATCCTTGGTACACTCACCGCGGTGATGGTTACTCTGGTTTAGACCTGCTCAATGCGGACACGGACGAGTGACGTTGGGAGCACAGTCGTACCCGTGCAACGGCGCCATCGGGTCAAAGCACCGGGTTTAGGAGGTGCCCGGAAATTCGCCCTTGTTGTTGAATAGACGACGTGGAATGTGGTGTGTCACCAGTCGACGCTGCCTTTGTTACCTTCCCTGAGCGGACTGGGAACGCGTCATGAGCGAGGCGCTAGAGATTGCCTCTTGCAACACGAGGTAACATGATTTCCGCCAGGACGACTGGGATGGACGAGGCTGGCAGGCTGCAATATATTTAAGCAAGAAAGCAACGCGGAACGGCAATCGATGCCTTGCCTGGTGCACAGTATCGGAGTCCCGCCGAGTTGTCATTCGCCGCCATGTGGTTGTCCATTTCCACGCTCTTGTTGGTTGCGGCCACAACCGCCGCCGCCGCCGCCGCCGCCAGGGCTGTACAAGGGGACCCGGCCGCGGCAGAGGCCGTCAACCGCCGATCCGACAGCTTCTGGGATTATATTGTCAAGGGTGCCGAGGTCCCAGCGGCCAGCACCAAGCCGGGCGCCCACAAGAAGCTGGAGGGCGACTTGGCCAACTACCAGTTACGTGTTCGACAGGCAGACCCTGCCGAGCTGGGAGTCGACAAAGTCAAGCAGCTAAGCGGCTATCTCGACGACACGGAGCAGGACAAGCACCTCTTTTACTGTAAGGTTCTCACCGGCGGCCGGTGCCCGTGACCACGTACTGATGCTCCGCGGCCAGGGTTCTTCGAGTCGAGAAACGACGCCAGCAAGGACCCCGTCGTCCTCTGGCTGAACGGCGGCCCGGGCTGCTCCTCGTTTATTGGCCTCTTCGACGAGCTTGGTCCTGCCACCATACGCAAGCCCGATCTGGTTCCAGTCAATAACCCGTACTCCTGGAACTCCAATGCCTCCGTCATTTTCATCGACCAGCCCGTCGACGTGGGCTACTCGTACGGCAACGGCACCGCGGCCAACTCGCAAGCGGCGGCAAAGGACATCTACGCCATGCTGTCCTTGTTCTTCCATCAATTCCCAACCTACGCCGGGCGAGACTTCTTCGTCACGGGCGAATCCTACGCAGGGCACTACATCCCCGCCATTGGCAAAGAGCTCCTCTCCCACAACGACAGCAACATCAACCTCAAGGGCCTGGCAATCGGCAACGGTCTTACCGACCCCTACATCCAGTACATGTACTACCGGCCAACGGCATGTGGCCAGGGAGGCTACCCGGCTGTCCTGTCCCCCAGCGACTGCCAGAGCATGAAGAACGCCGAGCCAGAGTGCCAGCGACAGATCAAGGCCTGCTACGACGGCGCCGGCACCGGCGCCTGCAGCCGGGCCACGACCAACTGCAACAACAACCTCCTGGGCATCTACCAGAGCGGCACGGACAAGAGCGTCTACGACATCACGTCCCCGGTCGGCACCGGAAATACCAGCTACGCCGTGCAGTTCCTCGCCTCAGCCAAGACCAAGCAGGCCCTGGGCGTCGAGGCCGGGCGCGCCTACGACCAGTGCAACTTTGACGTCTACGGCGACTTTGTCCGAAACGGAGACTGGATGACTCCGGCCCAGCGAGTCATTCCCGGCATCCTCGAAAAGATTCCGGTCCTCATCTACGCCGGCGACGTGGACTTTATCTGCAACTGGCTCGGCAACGAGGCCTGGACGCTTGCCCTCGACTGGCCCGGAAAGGCCGCGCTCAATGCTTCCAAGCCCCAGGAGTTGCGTGCCAAGTCTGGGAAGAATTACGGAAATGTCAGAGCTGCGCAGGGCCTGTCGTTGATGCAGATCTACAAGGCCGGCCACACGGTGCCCGAGTATGAGGGCGAGGGCTCGCTTGATTTCATCAATAGGTTCATGGGAGGAGAGTGGTCCAAGTAGACGTCCCGAGGATATTTGTACCGCTTTGAGCAGCGCCGACTGCCGCTCACCAGGCTCCCCGGTGGTACATGGGCAAATGCCGGAGTTGGCCAAGTAAATATCTAAATTGTAACCACGCCGCATGGCACTCGCGGCGCCTGGATCATGTTCACGTGTAGACAATACTACCCGTGCTTCAACCATTTCCGCGCCCTTTGCTCGCTGTTTCCCCTTCCCGTGGCGAGCTGTCGTTCCCGGCATGGTCGAGGGGGCTGCAACTGCTACTCGTCTAGCATGTCACATCACAGGGGCTCCCAACAATCGCCGGACTCGGTGCTCACGAGCATCGCGTCGACGAGTGTGTCATGAAATTCGCGGCAATCCCGCGCGCAGGAATGCGGCTCCCGGGTGAACGGCTCCAAGCCTGCCGCCAGCCCGTGCGACACGAATCAATGCCCGATCTTGCCATCAAAGCACCATCTCCCGAGTCCCAAGCCGAGTGGCTTCGAATCTCACACGTCGACAGCCTCGGGCACGAGGACGCAACTGTCGGCTCGGGACGTGCTTCAATACTTGGTGCGGGATACTGCGTGCGCGCCGCATCTCGGCAGGTGACAAGTCGTATTCCTCGCCACAAGTGTAGTACTGTGTGCCTGTCTCCCGCTTGCTGACGGCCACCGGCAGACGACGATGCGTGGCCCGGACCAGTCTCGTCGACCGTCTGAGGACTCGTTGCCGTTGCGCACAATGCTTGTTGCCGTGCTACTGTCCGGGCTGCTTGGGCACGCCACCACCCCGTCGCCCAGCGCCGTCTCTCTCGGCGGCCCGGTCCACGCCCGCGGCGGTTCGGCGGTCGGGCTGGGGGAGCCGGCAGCGGGACCTTTGACAATCAGCAGCGAGCACACTTGCGACCCGGGGTCCGCGTCAGTGGGATTTACCACATGTACAACGGCGCCGGCCCGCCGAGCGTGATCCACCGGGCCGGCATGTTCCACCTGATCTTGATTCTTCAGTGTTCGCACTCGCTGACCTTTCTCGACCCCGACCATGCCGCGCGCCACAGCTGCCCGCAGCTCAGCGTTTGGGGCCCGTGGTCAGAGGGGCCGGGCATCGTCTCCGGCAGCAGCGAGTGTGGCCGAGTTCCCGCCGACATTATCCGGTCCACCGCGGGACAGCCGCCGCGGGAACTCGCCGCGCGCGAGGGCTACCGGCTGCAGGTCCCGGGCCTACCTGGGGCTTTTGCCCTGACAACAACACCCTCTGGCCCGTCGGCTGCCTCAATATTTTCGCTGGCAACCACTCCAAGATCACAATGCTGACCCAGGAGGCGTGGCTGCCGCACAAAAAAGGCCAAATCTGTCTTGTCTCGCGTAGTTTCCGAACCAGGCTTTGTGACAGTGGCCGTGCGAGACGACCACCAACAAGGTCATGACATGTTGCCCGCTCGTAAATCCCATCCAAGTTTTTACAAACTCTTGGCCCGGCGGTGCCCGAGACCGGGCTGAACCGGCCGGGCTTCCACGGGGGCATGTCCGGTCTGTCAGGGACCCGGCGATGTTACGGTGTGGCAGGAAAAACCTGACATTGGCAGGCAACAGGAATCATCGTCTACCTTTGACACATATTCGCTGCAGACCCAGTTTACTGTACATGAAGCGTCGGTGCCCAGGTTTCCATACTGGGGCTTGTCTTTGACGACTGTCACAAGATACGCGGTGTGAGACGCATTGACACACATTAAAAGTGGCCCGACTCATGTTGCTGGTGGAAAGTATCTCCTCTTCCGGCTGATACGGGCGCAACCACCAAGCACGTCATGCCGATCTTGCGACGTGGCCGGTTAGAGTTTTGCCCTCAAGGTTCATCTCTTCATGTTCTCGTGACGAAACCCGGTCAACACCCAGGCACCTGTCAGTTGTCGAAGCAATGTTGGAAGCGGCAAGCAACAGACACATCGCTGGTCGTGAATTTGATTCGGGAACAAACACGCTGCGTGACCCCTGGGGGGGAGGGGGAAGGGGGGACATGCAAAAGTTTGCCATGATGCGGGGAATCTCGAACCCTGAGAGCCATTGTGCTCATCTCAGCTTGGCATCAGCATCCTTGGATCTGAACCTGCGGCTGCTGGTGTTTCCTCTGGGATCCTTCCAGGGGCTGCCTGCGGCGCTGCTCCAGGCCGGCACAACGTGTCACTTGGTAAACCAAGCACAAGTCTAGCCAAACTGCACAGTCGGCAGACGGTGGCAGGAGACTTGGCCTGTCACTGAGGAAGCAGCAGCAGTCTGCCTCAGCTTTCCGTCTGGGCGCTTTGACTGCACCTGTCGTTGCATGCCCCGAAGCCACTGCGACAAGTTCGTCCCTCATGCACCAGGACATCAAATTCTGCCGGTATGCCCCTGCGTCCAAGTACTGCACCTCCAGGTGGCCTTGAACACGGCAAGTCGAGCTGCCACTCCGATCCCAGAGCGCAAGGTCGTTTACCAGGCTCAGTGTTTGTATCCATTTGCGTGCTGTTGACTCACCTTGAACGTCTCGGACGAAGCCTTCGGTCGATCCCTTTTACGGCAGGAATAGAGTAGTTGCCTGGCGTTTTACCACGAAGCAGTTTACGCACACAGTCGATTCTCGCACGTCGGCCATCTGTGGCCCAACAAGAAAGCTGGTTATACGCAGGCGAAATATTCTCCATCTCCATTCTAGATTGTAATGAGCGGGGGACCAGCAGCAATCCCGGCGTCTTGGATGACACTTGATCTAGGGACTTGAATTCAAACTAGCACCATCTACAACTACATGCCCCTGTGCATCGTAACTCATGGCCAAACGTGGAGTGTTTCTGCCGGCATGGCAGCCACAGAACCTGACAAAAGGTGATGAGGATCCACGTATGCTTAGAGTTGATGTGAAACTCGAGCTACCCTCTTGCCCCTTGAGACTTCTCAAAGTGAATATAATTCTCAAAGTTGGACACAGGCACCGTGTACTTTCCATATCTTCCTGGACCCCCTTGCCCGTTGTAATCCTCGACGGTGATTTGGCCACCTGATGGATCAACTTCTGCTACCATGGCGACGTGTCCAAACTCGCCCTTGGTAGTTTGAGCGACGCAACCAGGTGTGGGATTACCGTCAACGGGTATACCTTGCGCCGAGGCACGACCTGCCCATTGGTTTGCGTCGGGCCATGGTCCTGTTTGTTTAACGGGGAATTTGTAGCGAGACTCAAGACGCCATTCGACAAATTTAGTACATTGGCAGTCCAAATCCATTCCCGCGGAACCGGGATTTTCCATGTTGCATTTATCACGAAGAGGAAAGTCATCGCCCACGGCGCCGGCGCCTTCCCCTTGACCTCCCCCTTGACCTCCCGCTGGACCCCCGGGTTGGTTTGACATGGAGCCAGGCTGCCCAACGGGCCCATTGCCTGTTCCTGGGCCGGCCGTGATATCGTTGGGCATGTCAGGGGAGCTGTCGAGCGAGTTGCCCGGAACAAGTTGCGGGCCGCCGGACGGGCCAAGTGATCCCGGAGGAAAGCCATTGCTTGCTGTTGAGCCGCTGAGCATTTTGTCCAAGCCGTTGGGAACGCCGCCTCCCAAGAGGCCGTTCAAAAGGTTAGGCTGTGAAGGGTCTGCTTGTGCAGACGGGATGAACGGGTTGCCGCCTCCATTTTGCAAGTTGGGGATGAATGAGTCGCCGCCTCCATTTTGCAAGTTGCTGGGCGACGTCACAACCGAGACGCCATTGCTGAGGTCGTTGGCCGTCTGCGCGGCGTTGTCAAGGTTTATAACATCGTTGTCAACCAGCGGCAAAGCAACAGAAAGCCCTTGCACAAAGACAAGACTTGCCGTATATGTAGTGAGCTTCATCGTAAAGGCGGAAAATGTATCGTCTCTGAAGGGACTGAAGAGCAGCCGGCGGTCAATCCAAGAAGGCCATTGTCTTATATACCGACTTGCTCGTCAACCTCGAACCTACTCCAGCTGCTGCCATTGGCCGAGCACGACTCACACATTATGCATGACTATTAACCCCAACCAAGGCGAAAAATACACACACACACACACACACACATTATGCATGACTAAAAGCAGGCCTATGCCGCGTCTTAACAATGTCAAGGATGTATACGCGGGTGCAGGGGAAGAGGGGATCATCTCCGACATCTATCAACGCTTGCCCCTGTGCCTTCAAGTTGATTGGCCGCGCCATGTTATGAAAAGCATCGCAGGGAAGAACGCGCAAGGCTCGCCGTCCTGAAAATTGTATACGGAGCAGACTCATGAGTCGGCATACCACACAATAGAGTGAGTCGCCACATCCGCTTTTAGTGACACTAAGCACTCTATGTGGACCTGTTTCAGCCAACCTGCCTTGATCTGACACGACTTGGCAGTTTCAAGTCGGCACAGCCACGTCTGACCTAGATGTTTCTCTAAAATACGATTTTAGGGTATCTAAAGGAAAAAGCTGGGGTGAATCCTAAAACTAGTCTAGAACTTACATGACACATTCTAGCAAAAGATGACATGGATTCACATGGGTATTCGTGCCTTTATTGAATTCCAAGTCCGACCGACGAAAGCTCGCCAAAAGTCTTGTAGGTGGCGACTTTTCTTCTCAAGCCGCTTCAACGTTTGCTGGGGGACAAGCTCAATGAGCAACGTCTGTTTCGTGCGTGGCTATCCCCGAACCTACTCCGCAGTCCTGACTTTCCTTTCCCGTGGCCATGGATGAGTCGGGCGCCTATAAAACAACATGCTCCAAGCCCTCAAAAAAGCCGTTGTCACAGCCATGACTAAGATCTCATGACCCGGAAGAACCATGCTTGTGGCCAAGACGTGAATTTCTGTCTGTCAGTGGGCGTTTGAGTACGAGGCCGACTTGTGGGAACTCGATCCAAAATTGACGTAAGAAGGACTGGTCTGCGAGATCAGGGCTTGGAGTAAATGATTCGTATTTACATATAATATCGTATGATCTTAGGTCCTTAGTTCCTCCATCTGACGGACCTGACCAACGAGGGCTTTATATATAAGATAGTGCCTGCGTGTGTAACCTGACTGGGCAACAAAGGGGGCTATGCCAATGAGGCTATCGTGATAGCTGCAACCTTTGTGCATTACACCTCCTGGGACGCAACCTCGCGATCCAGGTCGTTGCTCAGGACTCTGGTCGACCGCGCCGTTAGGTCGGACCGCCTTGCCAAATCTGAACCCGTCAACTTGGCGTCCAACGCATCGACCTTGTCGGACAGAGCCGCAACGTCTTGCTTCTGCACGACGTTGTCGCGAGCAGAGTTTGCCTGCGACAACGTGTCGGCGAGCCCGGCAACGTCGGCCTTGGTTGCCAGTTCCGCGTCCGCCAACGCCGTGTCAATGGCATCAACCTTGACAGCCAGCGTCACCAGCCCCTCCGTCCGCGCCACGTCGCGTCCAAGGGTGCTGACCCTGGAGGCGAGATTGAGGAAACAAGCCTCCGCAGGGCTTGGTCGGAGTAGGTCCGCCGCAGCTGCTCCAGGACCGCCTCGTGGTCAGCGTCGGCCCGCGTGACTTGTCCAGCGAGGTTTGCCATGTCTTGCCTCTGCAGTGAACTGTTGGCATCGACCATCAGCCCAAAAGCCCTCAAGTCCGACCTTGTCACCAGGTCAGAGACGCCGTCGTGGATGGCAGCATGCACCTGTTCCTGTGACAGGAGACTCGACGCCTCTGGCATAATCCCCCGGAACTCCTGTACAAATGCACAAAAGACTTCGTGCGTGACAAAGCCGTCACCTCCGTCGAATGCGCCCCGGAGATCTGACCCGAGCTCCCGCACAGACTGGGATAAGTTCTCCTGGGTGGGAAGACGATCAACAATATCCGACAGGCCGCCAACGAGTTCTACCACTCTCTCAGCAGTCTGCTGCGAACCGGGACCACCTTCGACGCAGAGGCGACGATCGATATCGGCAACATATTGGCGAATGATTCCGAGAGCAAGACCGACGGCCTCGTGGCGATCCCGGCCAACCTTCTTGATCAGCCCTACTTCGCTCTCGACCTTATCGACTGCACCATGCAGAGCAGACAAGGCCTCGAGCTGACACTGCGCCAGGTCTCCCAGCCGGTGCTGCCGGTTCGTGGCGGCAGTCTCGAGGCTCGAGACGGCAGACTCGACGTCTCTCTTTGAACGCAGGCCTCGCAGGGCCATCTGGTGACGCTCAATGTCTGCCCTCTTGGCCACAACTCTGTCGAGATTCGTCAGCCGAGTCTGCAGCCGGGCATGCACGGTCTGAAGCCGGGTATCCAGCAACTCCCGGAGCGATTCAAGCGAGTCACTGCGCTCGGCTGCGAGCCCTCGCATGTGGCGATTCACGTCGTCGCGGGATTCCCGTAGAGACGTCTCACGGGCACTCAATGCCGCGTCTCGGTCCGCCAACCTCTTCTTCATCTCGGAGAGACGCTTTCCCATCTCGGAGAGGCGCCGTTCGCGCTCCATCTGGCAAGGGACGCTTCGGCATTCCCCGGCGAATTTCCTTGGCAAGCGCGATGAAACGGCTGTCAAGCTCTCGGGACACGCGCTCGGCGAGACGGCTCTCAAACGTCTCTCGGAGTTGGTCCAGCTCGCGGCGCAGGGCAGCCTGCTCGGACTCGGAGACTTGTAGCTGCGTCTCCAGGGCAGCCACCTCTCGAGTGTGGATGCCCTCGTTGTGATTCTTGAGGAAAATTTTGACCTCTTCTGACAGGTTCGAAATGCTTCGCAAGGCATCTTCTTTGACGTCCGCTTGGACCGAATCGCCAGACATGTACTCGATTGAACCAAGGGCATTCGTCAACACCACCTGGAGCCACTGGATCTCGGCAACAACGGCCATGTTAACAGGTTGGACCTCGGCATGTACGGCGAGAGGGAAGAAAAATTTTCTGTCCGGTGCATTTTTCTTTTCTTTGTCAGGGTGTGGTGCGGTTGACAATTTGGGAAGGAACGTGGGAGCTCCTTCCATTGCCAGCTACCGTTGCGATCGCCTCGAGATTTTATCCACTCATTACAGAGGTGCAGCCCTTGATGGTCGAGTCCGTCAGACTGAGAATCTAAGAACCTTTGAGACTGTACGAAATTACATATAATTCCTTTGCCCCAAGCCCCAATCATCGTCACCATCCCTCGCCACACTAGGGTTGTTTGTGGAAGCGTTGCTGCGGTTTCATTATCGTCGCATAGACAAGACATTTAGCCACGGCATGGATTGCGGCCCTGGGGTGGATGTGTCTAGGATCAAACTTACAAGGGACATGTCATCAGAAAAGTCTTTGTATAAACAGAATCTACCCAGCAACTCACAGGGAAACGTCTCTGAGAACCCCCGACAAACAACGCAAATCATGCCAAGCGTCACGCGCGGTTAGCCTCGGCGTGCGCGTCCATGGCATTGGTCCAAAAAAAGTCCTCCAAAAAGTCAGTAATGGGGACATCTCTTCCCAGCTCACGAGCCCAGGCGGAAATGCCAACACAGGAGCGAACAGCTCCTGCTGGTTGAAGGACTCGCGACTTGACTGTCGGCAAGACGCACGACCAGCTCCGTGGAGGTTGACTCGGCAGACAACCCGGACCGCCGGGGGCATGCACTGCCGGAGCTTCGCAGATGGAATCTCGAAGCAAGTCTTCCAGTCTCTCCCTGGAGGGAACGGAACGGCCTTGATGCCCTCCACGGCCGCACGTGTGTCTTCCCTGGGGGCCGGACCGGCGGCAGACCCGGGAGCCCATCGAGACTTGGCCAGGTCGCCATGCACAGGCACGGGAGCCTGGCGAGACTCCTCCCTCCCCCGCTTGGCCGCCCTGTCGAGCATCGCCTCCTTCATTCGGGGAATCTGTTCGGCCTTTTCTGCCTCGCACGCCTTCAAGTATGTCGTACTGTAGACAATATCGGCCGGCCCGGTCGTCATGACGGGACAGTGCTCCTCCCTTATCTCCCAAATGCTCACCCCGAGGGACTGGCAAAGTCTGCCGAGGACTTTGAACTGGACATATGGCATGCCCATGACGGGGACGCGCCGCATGGACTCGGACGTCTCCTTGTACATCTGATCCCTCAACTCGTGGATCAGGTCCCGTCACCGTGTCAATGTGGCATCGGGGCGGGCTCGGAGCACCGCGGCGGCAACTGCCACGGCGAGCGGCTGTTGATGATGTCGTCTGGGGTCCAGGCGACAAATGCTCTGTGGCCTGCTTCAGAACGTCTCGTTCGACCAAAGCCATCGTGCTGCTGCTGCTGCTGCTGCTGCTGCGTCTGTTGCTGTACGCGGCACGAGTTGGTTGAATCGAAAAGGTTCACACTCACAGGAAGAAAACAAAATTTGTGCGTTCCAGTGTTAGGATAGGGCTCGCGGACTGTCATTCGATTGACAGCTGGCGAGAAGCGACAGACACACCAGCTTGGCATTGACGTTGTTGATTTTCGTTTTTTTTTTATTTTCTCTCTCACTCTCTCGGGCTTCCAAAGCATTGCCATCATGTCGAATGTATCCGTCGGTTCGGCCGATGCCGCGTTTGTGACGACGGCGACCGACGTTCTCAACGAGTACAACCGTCGAGGCAACATGTACGATGCAAAGCTGCAATTCCACAAGCTTCTCGACGACTTGCAATCTCCCGCGGTCTGTGATCGTATCAGGAGAGCTAGGATGGGAACGACCCAGACGGTCCAGAGTTTCGAGAAGGAACACTTGGAGTCGTACGTTGTCTTCCAGCTGGCAATGTCCATGTCTCCCCTGGCCTTTCGATCCGTTCTCTCGGGCACAGTTGACGAGCGGCACTTGGTATTCTGCCACTGGCCTGGCCCTGGGGTCTACGCTGTCGGCGTGGCGGTTGACGGGCGCGGCGGCAAGTTCCTCTCCGCGCGAGAGATTGAGACTCTCGCACAAGGCGTCGAGAGGTATTCCGCCGGCTACGACACCCTCAAGACCGCCCCCCCAGCAGCGAATCGGGGCTTAGAAGCGGGCTGTCAAGTATCTGCGCGTGGTTGACAATGCCATCTCGACCCACAGCTCGCCGCCGCCTAACGGGGGTCGCAGCAATTCAACGACCCGGAGCAGCAGCGCGTTCTCGTGTTTGCAGAGAGGCTCCGCGAGCGGGCCAGGCTGCTCATGACTGTTGACCCGACCGGCAACGTGGTCCAAGTGCAGAGTTCGCTGTACATTGGTCGCTCAGACAAGCTCGAGAACCGGACCAAGGACTACCAGGTGCCCGTCCGCCTCGGCGGCATCAACAAGCTTCTCGTGCTCACACTGAACGTCCTGGAGACGATGAACCTCCAGTCCAGCCTCCATGCTCGGCCCGTTATCCGCATCTGGGAGCGGCATCAGCTGCCATTTGCAGAGCGGCTTGTCGCGACACCGGCCGAGTCGCTGGTGGCCCAAAACAGCTTCAACGCCAAGGAAGCCAGTGGCCGAGCCATCTGCATGGCCATCCAGACGGAGTTGATGGCCGCCAAGGTCCAGGTGTTTTCCATCAGACCGTTCCTGAGGCAACACCTGAGAGACGTCAAGACGGAACTTGAAGCAAGATTAAAGTTCATTGACGGCTTGAAGTGGCTAAGCCGCTCGACACTGAAGCAGAAGGCCATCAAGACGAAGGAACAACTCGAGGCCTTCTTGGCATTGAAGCCGATGGCGTGGACCACAGCCGTGTCCATGCTCCGGTCAAAGGCGGAAAGGCTTGACAAGCAGTGGGACACGCTGTTGCGCTTGAAGGTGCAGATGAACTCCATCATGGACCTTCAACGCGCCATGCTGCCGCCGTCTGAGGCATCGCGCCTATAGTCGGCAAGGCGTCAGTTTTCCCTGACCAACACGGCAACATGGGGCAGCAGGATTTCCCGCTCTCCACTTGCAAGCTGGCCTCAGGCCGTTATCATCGCCGGATGTTGATGAAATGGATGTTGATTAACTTTGCTTTGGAGCTTCTGTAAACTGTATCCAGATGGATACAGAAATATATTCTTTTGCTTGTCCCACCATCTTCCATTGTCCTCTGCAGTCTTGTGCTATCTTCTTGTACTGTCTTCTACTATTGCTAGACTGTACTTTTATTAAAGTGAAACAAGAAACAAGCAAGCTGTTTTAAACAGACTGCGTCTGCAATATGCTACTTGTAAATTGGGAGGATCACGGTGTTAACCGAGACCATCTCGTCGATATACGTTGCCCTCACCCCACGTACAAGATGAGGAGCCAGAGGTGTAAAACGGGACAACAGCAGTCGTTGGATGCGGTCTGCTGGAAAGACAAAACTGATGTATTAGGGTGGCAATCTCGTATTCTATTCGTTTTAGGCTGATGCTTGTAATATCGTATTCTACTCGTTCTAGCCTGCTGCTTGCGATCTCAATAAACTTGCGCGTCAGTCTATCCTGCACATGTGCTGGTGATGCAACAGGGCTCAGTTACAGGAGTGTATTCAGGGCTTAGATCAAAGGACATTCGCTTTTAGTATCGTGTAGTGTTACACAGAACCTCATACAACTAGCCGCAATACACAAATGTCAAGGGCTGGCCTCAATGATCAGGGCTTGGAGCAAATGACTCAGCTCACATATCATATCGTGTAGTCTGGAAGTTCTTGTTTCCTTAGTCTGAAGGACCCGACCAACAAGGGCCATATGTACAAGAAGTGCGTGTAACCTGACTAGATGACTTTGTGCGTTGCAGTTGGTTTTGTGGTTCAAGTCTTGTTGTGCTCGACCGCAAGTTCCGTGTAACGGCAACCGTACAACAAATCGCGACTCGGCACACCCAGACTGGGTGCAACTTGCCATCAGCTCCGTCGATTCCATGAAAACTACAACTAGCCAGTCAAGTTGAGTTACTGCTGCAAGCTCTGTCATCACAGCTTGGGCGACATGTAAGAGGACCGACGTCAACAGACTGGGCACACCGCAATCAACACAGACGCATTTCTCCTAGTCAAGTTGAATGACTATTATTTGCGCAATTGCTCACCCCGACTTGGATTTTGGCAGCGTGAAAGCTTGCGGGAACGTGTTGACCGACAAGTCAAGCTGCGGACAACGAGGCCCCGTGTTCCCAATCTGAAAGCAGTCGAGACAAAGCCGATGATTTGAAACCATGTTCGAGTCTTCCATTGATGCATGTGCAGCCATCTATGCCTAGTGCCTTTGTGCCTTGATTCTCAGACTCGCGAGTGGTCTATGAGGGCATCGTGACAGCCGCAACATTCGTGCATTGCAGCTAGGCATGTGGCTGAGGCTTGACCGCAAATTCCGTGCAACACGAGCAGTCAGCACTACCACGAGTCCTGATATTCCAAGTTGCTTTGCCGTTAATATTTTTATTCCAGATACCTGGGCAATCAATATAAATTCCTTCTCTCTCACCTTTATCGCCGAACAAGTTCCAAGTGTTCACCTATAGTCCTCCACGATGCCGCCTGTGAACGGCAGCAAAGAACATACCTAGAGATGGATCCGGGCTGCCCCTTTGCTGGGCTCGGGACTCTTGTCGTAACTTTGTGATGCTCCTGTCCACGAGATACCACTTGTGTAAAGCATAAGCCTACAAAGGTTTGCCTCTATTTGCCGGATGAGACTGCCCCGTCTTCATACAACACGCTGATCCTGCACATAGACCGAGGGTGAACATGTCTCCTCCAAAGACCGCGACGAGGCAGTCAATGTGAAAAATCCAGGCCGCGCGTAAGACGACCTGCAATACAATGTGGACAAATTATGCGCGACACCATGCACCCCAGTTGTCAGCTTCCGTTGCAGGCGCCTGCATCATGTCACCAACCGTGTTTGGAAGCAATCCTACGGTCTCGGCCCTGTCGTCGGGTCTCGTCTCGTCTCGGCTCGTCCCCCACGATGCCATGTGCTCAGCCTGGCCTGGCCATGATTACGCCCTGCAGACCTAGGCCAGAGCACCCTCGACGGCGAATCGTGACGAATATCGACGGGGCGGTCCCGTCCCGCCACTGCGTTTCTGTTAATGCCGGGATCGCTCAAAGGTTGCATTCGTCGCCCGCCCCCGTCTGATGAAACGCAACCTCAAAACGGGCATCTCAAGCTGGGGTGCGTGCCGCCACAGATCAGCCCTTGGATGAATCTGTGCTTGAAATCCAATCCTGCCGCATCAGCCGCCAGCGAGTTGCACGTCAGATCCAAGGCCCGGACAAATATTCGGAGAGAAGGGTGCTCTGCTCACGCCACCCAAAGTTCCATGCGCATCGATACTCTGCGGTATAGGGGGGACGAAAACAGGCCATTGGCCGGTGCGAACCATCGTGGGAGAGCAGGCATTTGGCACGCGATCCCTTGCCTATACTGCTGTGTATTAAACCGCGGAATCAATAGTTGTGTATGATTTGGCTGACGCCTCGAAAATAGCCCGTGGTTCTTTTGTTTCTGGGTTCAGCCAGAGCCAACCGGCAGCCGCCATAACATCCGTCTCGTGGACATTGCGGTTGACGGAGCACACGTATGCGGACCGCAGCGAAGCCAGCTCTGAGTTTGCTCGGCATCATCTCGCCGAGCGTGCTTGGTATAAAGTGCGGTGCCCTGGGACGTCTTGAACATGCCGCGCACATATTCACCATCCCCAGATACGCATCGAACCTCCCACGCGCGTCGTCAACTTCCCACGGCACACCAACATGTATTTCCTCGCCGGCGTCACCACCTTCATATCCGCAGCGGCCGCCGCTGCGCTCCAAGTGAGGGATGCCCCCCAGAACGTCAGGGTCAGGGGCGTGAGTCTTCTCGGGACCGGCTGCCCGCCTGGTACTGCCGATGTCCAGGTGGATGCCACGGGCAGCCTTTTCGAGGCCACCTTTTCCGCGTACGAGGTCGAGACCGGACCCGGCACGTTCCCTGCGGACTGGAGGAGGAACTGCAAGTTGACCATCAACTTGCAATTCGATCCCGGATTCCAGTAAGCCTCCCCCCTGCGGCCCGCGCGTTTCGTCCTTTGACGTCGTCTAGGTTCTCCATTGTAGAGACCGACATGATTGGGTTCGCCGAGATTCCGGCCGGCTCCAACGGCCAGTGTATCAACACCTTCTCCTTTACCGGCGGCGGCGCCCAGCACGTCGACTACCGAATTTCCCTGCGCGGGCACTACAGCGGCAACTTTGATCTCCGATCCAGCCCTGGCATCTTCTCGTGGTCGCCGTGCGGTGGTAGCACTGCCATTCTCAACATGAACACGGCCTGCAGCATCAACCCGACTAATCAGCAGGCTCTCATTGCGGCAAGCCACACCCTCGCACAAACGTCCACCGGGGTTTTGCACTAACCAGTGAGCAGGTCGATCACATTAGCGGCAGGCTGAGAGTCAAGTTTGCCGTCCAGTGGCAACGGTGCCGAGCGTAGGGGGGGCCGGGCTTTGTTTTGCTCGCCGTCAGGCTTGGGGCGATGACGAGTTGCCCTTGACCGGAGCACCAGGAGACGTTCATTCTGGCCACAATCTCTACCCTGCCCATGTTTGTTGCTGTTTTTGTTGTTTTTTGCTCGGCTTTGCCTTGTGTGCGTGCCGCCTGGGCTTTGTCAACAGCATTGTTCCATTCATTCTTTCAACTGCTTACTGGTGACGCATGACAGTGACTGTCAACAGAATGATATGCAAACCGGCTCCCAGTGCTACGTGTACGTGACCGTCATATGTTGTGCCGTTTTACCATCCTGGCCTCGCGCACTGTCGACCGCAGCTGCATGCTGGTTTTGAGCACCACTTAGGCAGTACCTGTGTCCGCGCCCTTCCTGTCATTTCAGTGGCCATGATGTGTTATTCAGGAAGTGTGCCTCCGTCACGGGTTGGGATGCAGTAGCCTGCCCCGTTAAAGAGCCGCAACATATATCTACAAACTTATTCTTGTGGCAGTCGTCACATTTCCATTCATATGATGAACGCTAAAAGGAGGCCGACTTCCGAGTCTGTTCGCATCGTGGATTTCTTGGACTTTTCTGTTGACTCATTTCTCGACAAAGTTTCTCGCTACACTCGTGCTGATTTTCACGCCAAAGAAGACTAAAATAACAAGCAGGTCATTCTGACTTGGAAGATGCGCGGCATTAGGATTGTAGGTGTTGTGAATCTCCTTTATGAGAAACCTTGACTTTATGTGTTTGTCTGCATCGGCAGAAACTAGCTTGCTGTCTCCGAGAAGCCCAAGTGCCGTTTTAACTACCTAAAAGATGAATTCCCATGCCTTAGGGCTCTATAGAATTGTCAGAGACTCAACGCTTGTCTAAGCGTTCAGAGGTGGAGGGTATAGTCCCCTTTAATTTGACTTAATATAATAGTATAATAGCTACTAAATTAGCAGTAAACTAGCACCTAAGAAGTCTATATATACAAAGAGAAGAATTTCCTGCTTAAATAGAAAGAGGCTTAGAGATTAATATAGTTATTACTACTAACCTAATTAGCTATAAAGTTACTATAAGGCTCCTTATATAACCTACTGTTTACTCTACTTTAAACACCCTACTAATACTGGCTAGGTGTGGCGTGGACAAGCGAGGGACTAGGGTTAGTCGTGGCAGCGGTCGAGCGTCAGAAGAGTCGGCATCGTCCTTCCCAGCCGTGGAGCATGCTCGCGAGGGGCATGTCACAAACTCTGTCATTGTTATTTTTTTTCTTGTGTTTTACATGTTTTTGCCATCCCAAACACGCAGCCTGCTCGTCAGATATACAGGTCAAAGACGACTTCGGGCCCGACGAGGAAAAAGGCAAGTGAGAGACGTGTGCTGCACGTCTGGTGTGCATGGCTGGCCGAGACCGGGCGCATCATGACGGATCACGCAGGTTTGAGATGCGAGGGTGAGGAGCGCAGGCACCGAGCATGTAGATGCCTTGGTCATCCGGCTAGTTTGTCGAGACACATTGTTAGACCCAGGCCCCCGCTGACAAGGCGCCTGTGTCGCGTTGTAAATGCAGGCCGGCATCGAGCGGAACAAGTCACTTCATCACGGCAGCCAGCATCATGGGCAGGGGCAAGAGAGCGCATATAACGAATGAAATTGGTCTATGGTAGCATCTAGATACATGAAGGAAACGTAAGAACAATTATACATGTAAAATGCCAACCCAAGGGGTTTTCGTTTGCCAAGTACAAAACGGAATCATTAATTACACCGTGACCGAGGCCTCACCGGCGAGGCCCGCAAGACACGCGTCCGCATCAGCACGCGCCGGGCGACTGGCACTGGCTCGTGTTGACGTTCTGGTTGGCGGCCAAGCAAGCCTCGTACTGCGTCTGGCACGTCCCGCTCTGGCTCCCGCTCTGGCTGCTCCCGCTCTTGCCCAGGAGAAGGCCGAGGGTGCGGCGCAAGGGGCCCTTGGTGGTCGGGAGGACCAGCTCGCCCGAGTCGGAGCGCTTCATGGCCGGGCAGTTCCAGTTGAACTGCATGCACTGGTCGTACTGGGTCTTGCAGGCCTGGGCGCAGGCGCTGGGGGCCTGGGCGAGCGGGAAGACGGGGCAGTTGGCGCTCACGGCGTTGCTGTACAGCTTGATGGGGCTGGAGGCGTACTGGTCCGGGTTGTCGTTGCAGTTGACGACGGGCATGGGGATGCCGCAGATGGGGTTGGCGACGCTCTGGCAGATGCTGGCGGCCTTGGGAGGGCACCCGGGCGCCGGCGTCGGCGCGCACGGAGCGACGATGGTGGTGACGGAGGCTCCCGCGGGCGGCGACACGCACTGGCTCTTGCTGCACGAGCCAAAGACGCACTTGAGGCAGCAGAGCTCGATGGACTTGCAGAACTCGATATACTTGAAGCACTCGGCGGCACCCGCGAGGCCGGCGCTCTTGAAGCACGAGGCCGACTGCAGCTTGCACTGGGCGGCCGACTTGATGCAGCCCAACTTGTCCGACCATTCCGGCACCGGGGGGGCGCACCAGCCTCCAATCCTGTACTCGCAGCTCGACGAGGGAACCGTGGCCGTGGTGGTGCAGAGCGCCGACGTGACAAAGGTGGCGCTCGTCGCGACAGACGACGTCAGCGTGGCAGGAGTGGTGGTCTGGGCGGTCGTGCCCGGCACGGACTCGGTGACGGTCGTGACGACGGTCGTTCCCGGGATGCTGACGGTGGTGGCGACGGTCGTTGCGGGGACAGTCGACACGGGAGTTGTGGACGGCGTGAGGGTGGAAACAAACGTCGTTGCCGGCCCAGAGACAGTCGTTGTAGACCCGCTGATGGTGGAAATAAGCGTGGTTCCTGGGATGCTGAGAGTGGTGGTCAGAGTGGTTCCCGGGACGCTAGCCGTGGACACGAGAGTGGTTCCCGGCGCGGACTCGGTGACGGTCGTGATGACCGTTGTTCCGGGGATGCTGACAGTTGTGACGGCGGTTGTTCCGGGGACAGTCGACACGAGAGTAGTGGACGGCGTGAGAGTGGAAACAAAGGTAGTTGCCGGCCCAGATACTGTTGTTGTAGACCCGCTGACAGTGGAAACAATAGTAGTTCCTGGAATGCTGAATGTTGTAGTGAGAGTAGTTCCTGGGACGCTGACCGTGGACACAACAGTAGTCCCCGAGGGAATAGGAGCGGTATCTGTGAAGCTAGAGACGACAGTGGTTCCTGAGGGGACAGGAGCGGTATCTGTGAAGCTAGAGACGACAGTGGTTCCTGAGGGGACGGGAGCGGTATCTGTGAAGCTAGAGACGACAGTGGTTCCTGAGGGGACGGGAGCGGTATCTGTGAAGCTAGAGACGACAGTGGTTCCTGAGGGGACGGGAGCGGTATCTGTGAAGCTAGAGACGACAGTGGTTCCTGAGGGGACGGGAGCGGTATCTGTGAAGCTAGAGACGACAGTGGTTTCCGGGAGCGTGGAAACAGGAGTTGTCGTAGGGGTTGGTCCACACTGGCTACCAGTGAATGTGCTAGTGCAGGTGACGATAGCGGTGCCGGCCGGGCCGCTCGCGTTAGGTGCAGTGGACTGGCCGGGCATTGTGGGAGTTGGCGCGCAGTCAGTGCCTGTGAACACGCTTGTGCATATAGTGGGCGCCGGGCCGGTAGTCTCGGGGCCGGTAGGCTGGGGACTAGTTGGTACACCGGTCGACTCTGGGCCGGTAGGCAGAGGGCCGGTAGGAGCGGTATCTGTGACACTGGAGGCGATGGTGGTTCCCGGGAGCGTGGAAACAGGAGTTGTTGTAGGGGTTGGTCCACACTGGCTACCAGTGAATGTGCTAGTGCAGGTGACGATGGCGGTGCCGGCCGGGCCGCTCGCGTCAGGTGCAGTGGACTGGCTGGGCATTGTGGGAGTTGGCGCGCAGTCAGTGCCTGTGAACACGCTTGTGCATATAGTGGGCGCCGGGCCGGTAGTCTCGGGGCCGGTAGGCAGAGGACTTGTGGGCACGCCAGTTGACTCTGAGCCGGTAGGCAGAGGACCTGTGGGCACGCCAGTTGACTCTTCGCCAGTAGGTTGAGGACCTGTGGGCACACCAGTTGACTCTGAGCCGGTAGGCTGGGGACCTGTGGGCACGCCGGTTGACTCTGGGCCGGTAGGCAGAGGACCTGTGGGCACACCAGTTGACTCTGAGCCGGTAGGCAGAGGACCTGTGGGCACGCCAGTTGACTCTTCGCCAGTAGGTTGAGGACCTGTGGGCACACCAGTTGACTCCGGGCCGGTAGGCTGTCCAGGAGTTGTCGTTGGAGCAGGAGTGCACTGGCTACCAGTAAGCACAGTTGTGCAGGTAACAACTGCTGTTCCAGTAGCCTTAGGTCCAGACATGATAGGTCCAGTAACTTGTCCTGGTACAGTTGGAGTTGGGCCGCACTGGGTGCCGGTCAACACGCTTGTGCATGTAACGACAGGCGTGGATGTGGGTGCAGGACTAGTCGGCTGAGGACCAGTGGGCACGCCAGTTGACTCTTCGCCAGTAGGCTGAGGACCTGTGGGCACACCAGTTGACTCCGGGCCGGTAGGCTGTCCAGGAGTTGTCGTTGGAGCAGGAGTGCACTGGCTACCAGTAAGCACAGTTGTGCAGGTAACAACTGCTGTTCCAGTAGCCTTAGGTCCAGACATGATAGGTCCAGTAACTTGTCCTGGTACAGTTGGAGTTGGGCCGCACTGGGTGCCGGTCAACACGCTTGTGCATGTAACGACAGGCGTGGATGTGGGTGCAGGACTAGTCGGCTGAGGACCAGTGGGCACGCCAGTTGACTCTTCGCCAGTAGGCTGAGGACCAGTAGGCACGCCAGTTGACTCTTCGCCGGTAGGCAGAGGGCCGGTAGGCTGAGGACCAGTTGGCACGCCAGTTGACTCTTCGCCAGTAGGCTGAGGACTAGTGGGCACGCCAGTTGACTCTTCGCCAGTAGGCAGAGGGCCGGTAGGCTGTCCAGGAGTCGTCGTTGGAGCAGGAGCACACTGGCTGCCAGTAAGCACAGTTGTGCATGTAACGACAGCAGCCGGGCCAGTGGCGTTAAGTCCCGAAGACCCAGTGACCTGGCCTGGTGCAGTTGGAGTTGGGCCACACTGGGTACCGGTCAACACGCTAGTGCACGTAACAGGCGTGGTTGTGGGTGCAGTTCCAGTGGCTTCAGGTCCGGTAGGTGCAGTTCCTGTGTTCTCGGGCCCAGTAGGAGCAGTTCCTGTGTTCTCAGGTCCAGTAGGAGCAGTTCCTGTGTTCTCGGGCCCAGTAGGAGCAGTTCCTGTGTTCTCAGGTCCAGTAGGAGCAGTTCCTGTGTTCTCGGGCCCAGTAGGAGCAGTTCCTGTGTTCTCAGGCCCAGTAGGCTGGCCAGGAGCAGTGGTGGGAGTCGGCGGGCACTGACCACCAGTAAGTGTGCGTGTACATGTCAAGGCAGTGGTGCTAAGAGCTGGGCCTGTAGGCGCCGGGCCAGACATGGAAGGGCCAACGCCACTGGTGTAGCCAGGCATATTGGTGGCACCAGGTAAGCAGTCGCTGCCGGTTAGTACAGTAGTACAGGTAACAGGCGTAGGAGGGACGGGTCCGGTGGTTTCAGCGCCAGTTGGCGCGGGCCCAGTAGTGTCGGTACCAGTAGGAAGAACCGTGGAATCAGCGACGGTGGATGTGCCGGTACCAGTAGGGGCCGAGCCAGTCGAGTCGGTGCCAGTAGACTCGACGGGCGTACCAGTAGGAGCAGGCGTGCATTGGCTACCCGTCATGACGCTCGTGCATGTAATGACTGTACCAGGGAGACCTGACTCTGAGGGCATACCAGTGGCTGCAGGCAGGCAGTCGGTGCCGGTCAGGATGCTTGTGCATGTAATTGGCGTTGTTGTAGGAGCGGGGCCGGTCGGGGCAGGGCCAGTTGCATCGGGTCCAGTTGGGGCAGGGCCGGTACTGTCAGGGCCGGTCGGGGCCGGGCCAGTTGCATCGGGTCCAGTTGGGCCAGGGCCGGTACTGTCAGGGCCGGTCGGGGCAGGGCCAGTTGCATCGGGTCCAGTTGGGGCAGGGCCGGTACTGTCAGGGCCGGTCGGGGCCGGGCCAGTTGCGTCGGGTCCCGTTGGCGCAGGAACCCCAGCCGAGACCGTGACAGTCACAGTAACTGGGGCGGAACACGCGGGCAGTGTAAAACTGGGCAAGCTGGACGGGCTCGAGCCATCACTAGTGGCGGGCAGCTCGCCCGGATTTCCGGGCGCCACAGGTACGCATGGCTGCGAAGACAAGAGATCCTTGGCCTCGTATACGCTCAAACGACCACGGCCGCCGCATAATTCGGTGCTGTTTCCGCGACAAGCAGCATCGCACTCCGAGTCATTGACCGTCGTGGTTGCCGGGTTGAGCAAGGTACCGCACCAGCATTCACCTGCGTCCGACGGTTAGCTCGCTCAATGCTCAGGTTTTTTTGGGGTTTTTTTCCTTTTTTTTGGCACGTGGGGGACGGGGCCTACCTCCAAACTCGGTGCCGGCATAGGGGAATCCCTTGGCCTTGCACGCGGCGATACATGTGTCAGGTGTGACGGTGGCCGGGTCGACGCCGCCGGACCATGTCAGCGTCCGTCCCTTGTTCGTGTCGTCGGTGAAGCAGCCAATCGGCTTGTAATCCTGAACAGAGACCTTCTCGGGCTTCTTGGGGTAGGTCTTGTCCTCCCAAACGGACAGCGCCGCGTTTCCTCCACACTTCTGGGTCTTGTCGCCGCTGCAGGGAAGCGAGCAGACGCTTTCGTCGGCGGCACTGCCGCCAAGAGTGTTGCCACAGAAGCAGACGCCGTAGTACTTGAGGCCAGCGTATCGGAAGCCATTTCCTATATGCAAAACCCGTGAGCGTTTCGCCTTTGCGTGTCACGACTCATGAGCAGACCATGGGGGAAACCCACCTTTGCAAACGGCAGAGCACTTCTCGACCGTCATCTGGCTCTGGTCGGTGCTGGACCGCATGAGGAGGGCGGCGGGGCTGCCGTCTTTGATACAGCCGACATATTCAAACGTTTTGCCTACATTCCCACACGGGGGCCTCTCCATCTTTGTGGCCAGGGCCACAGTGGCCAGGCCCGAGGCCAGTGTGGCCGCGATTAGAGAGCGTACCATGACCAAAACTGACTCGGAACGAATGTGAGGGTGTTGGGGTCAAGCGAGAGGAATTTGAATTTGCCCTTGGGCAATTAGTTGCGGACTGAAAGAGTGTCTTGGTTTTTTGGTTTTTTTTTCCCTTGCTTTTCTTTGTTTCTTGAAAGCACACGCGGGGAATATATACAATCCAGACCGGGCAAAAGCACAAGCAAAGCCTCTTCTGCTTTGATACCGGCCGTGTTCGCGCCGGCGGCAGGTCAGCCGCCGATGGCAGCCATGAAGTCATCGCACAGACACTGAGCTTCAGAGTCTCAGCTCCGACCAGCGGTGCGTGCCTCTGCAGTGCCGTGGACTGGACGGCGTACACGTTTGACAACAGCATCCCGGCCCGCCGGCCGAGCACTAGACAAAGTCTAAAACCAAGGAAACGTCCAGGCACAGGCGAGCCTGCCCGGCTTGCAAAGGCACATCCGAGCGGGGTCGATGGAAATTCGATCGCGGTTCAGGCCCTGGCCTGAAACACTAGGCTGATTGGAAGGGCTGGCATCGCTCGACGCCCGTACATCTTTAGCGTCTTGCTGCCACCGAGCGCCAGCCCCGGGGCGATGACAGATCCGGGCTCTGATCTGCAAATCGCCACTGCCTGGCCGGGCTGGCCACTCAGGCCACGCTTCCGCGCCAAGTTAAGGTTCGCGGTGTGGCCACTGGGCTGCGTGCTCCAGAGATATCCGTCGTTGTTCTACGCCCACGTCCGTCTGCAAAACAGACTACCGGCCTAGCGGCAACGCCTGTTCCTGGCTAGTCGGGCAGCGGCTCCACGGACCTGACACAGATGGTGTCGAAACGGAGACGGAGGCACCAGTCTTGGCCGCCGACGGTCAAGGCGCGACGCCTCTGCCCGTCCTGTTTTGTCCCCAGCTTCCGAGCGCCGTTTTGGCGAGCTTCGTGGAGCGTTGCAGAGGCTCGCCAAGGAAATCTCGTCGCCGTCTCACCATGGCCAAGATGTGGGCTCCGTCCACCGTTCGTCGTAGTTTCATCTAGTCGACTCGTAGAGCAATCGATGAGCTATGGAAGCCGGTATACGAGCTCATGAATCGCAAATGGTGCTGCCCAGAGCATTTAATATCCATTTCCTCTTGAGTGCATCTGTGTCTATTTTGTCTATAAATTCATCATCTTTGTCGCTCGCTATTGTCGCAAAACCATTTTCGGTGCTGACATTTGGGGGAAACGAGAAGAAGAAAAAACACACAGACCACCAAGCAAAATCTCAACCAGACGGTGCGTGTTTTGCCTACTGACGCCAACCCGTGATAGGGTAAAGTTGTCCAGAAAACGAGCCTAAGCACGACCTATTTTTACTTTACCAATGCGGCCCTCGGTCGTCACGACCCTGGTCTTCGGACTCGCCTCGGCTGCTGTCGATGGAAACTTTGAGCCGCCCGAACACGGGATTCTCGTTGAGAGAACCCTAGGCCTGAAGTCCATCTTTATGGGCATGAATATGCACAGCGGCCATGACTTCATGGGGCTCCTTGGAGCCAAAAAGACTGCAATGCTGTGCGGCGAGGCGGGCAAGTTTGATAACTTCGGCTCCTTCTGTGACACATTGGGTTTAAAGGGCATTTTGCAGAAGAAATTGGAATTCTTCATGAAGGACAAGTGCGGCGTAAGTGCTTTGCCATGAAACGCGCATCATCATTCATCGAGGCCGGGAGCCCAAGACCTAACAAACAAACAAACAGCCGCAGTTCCCTCCCCCCGGGTGGCCTCCTGGATCTGAGGGCCAACCACCACCTCCCCCTGGACCGCCTCAACCACAACAACCTCCTGCGCCGCCTCCTGGATCTGATTCTCCACCGCCTCCTCCTGCGCCGCCTCAACCACAACCTCCTACAGAGACAACAGTAATAGTTCCTCCAACTCCTCCAACTCCCCCGGGAGAAAACCCGACGGACATAGCGCCTCCCGGCCCTCCCGGCCCTCCCGGCCCTCCTGGCTCTCCTGGCTCTCCCGGCTCTCCCGGCTCTCCCGGCTCTCCTGGCTCTCCTGGCCCTCCCGGCTCTCCTGGCCCTCCCGGCTCTCCCGGCTCTCCCGGCTCTCCCGGCTCTCCCGGCTCTCCCGGCTCTCCCGGCTCTCCCGGCTCTCCCGGCTCTCCCGGCTCTCCCGGCTCTCCCGGCTCTCCCGGCTCTCCCGGCTCTCCCGGCTCTCCCGGCTCTCCCGGCTCGGCCCTCCCGGCCCTCCCGGCTCTCCCGGCTCTCCCGGCTCTCCCGGCTCTCCCGGCTCTCCTGGCTCTCCTGACTCTCCTGGCTCTCCTGACTCTCCTAACTCTTCTGACTCTCCAGACTCTCCCGACTCTCCCGACTCTCCCGACTCTCCTGACTCTCCTGACTCTCCCGGCTCTCCCGACTCTCCCGACTCTCCTAACTCTCCTGACTCTCCTGACTCTCCCGGCTCTCCCGGCTCTCCCGACTCTCCCGGCTCTCCCGGCTCTCCCGGCTCTCCTGGCTCTCCTGGCTCTCCTGGCTCTCCTAGCCCTCCCGACTCGGCCAGCCCTACCGGCCCTGCCAACCCTCCAGAGCCCCAAGGTCCCCAAGGTCCTCCTGGCTCTACACCAACCGATGGACCACCGACTACCTCTATGCCCACGGCATGCGCCACAGTCACATCCGCTTTTCCCCCATGTGCTACTGATTGCATCTCTTCGGCGGGTCCCCAGGTTGGCTGCAGTGAACAAGACTTTGGGTGCTCCTGCAAGCCCGACTCTCGGGAAAAGTTTTCCAAGCTTGTCGAAGAGTGTCTTTCGACTGCCTGTCCGTCCGAGTCCGTCGCCTCTGTCACACAAGGACTGAGCTCCGTATGCTCGTGCTTGACCAACCCTCCTGGGCCGACCGACAGTGGCATGCCTCCGCCACCTCAGCCGTGTCAGCCGGGAGAAAGTGGCGACTGCACTCAGGCGCAGCCACCAGCCACGGGCCCTGCCGGCCCTCCCGGCTCTCCCATGCCTACTGGCTCTTCTGATACGCCCGGTTCCGATTCGCCCGGTTCAGATTCGCCCGGTTCCGACTCGCCCGGTTCCGATTCGCCCGGTTCAGATTCGCCCAGTTCCGACTCGCCCGGTTCCGATTCGCCCGGTTCAGATTCACCCGGTTCCGACTCGCCCGGTTCCGACTCGCCCGGTTCGACCGATTCAGCAGAATCCCCCCCTATGTCTACTGGCTCTCCTGATAACTGGCTCTCCTGATAAGCCTGGTCTGATAAGCCTGGTTCGGATTCGGAAACCCCCCCTATGTCTCCTGGCTCTCCTGATACGCCTAGTTCGGATTCGCCCGGTTCAGATTCGCCCGGTTCGGATTCGCCTGGTTCGGATTCGCCCGGTTCAGATTCGCCCGGTTCAGATTCGCCCGGTTCCGACTCGCCCGGTTCGGATTCGCCCAGTTCGGATTCGCCTGGTTCGGATTCGCCCGGTTCAGATTCGCCCAGTTCGGATTCGCCCAGTTCGGATTCGCCCGGTTCCGACTCGCCCGGTTCGGATTCGCCCAGTTCGGATTCGCCTGGTTCGGATTCGCCCGGTTCAGATTCGCCCGGTTCAGATTCGCCCGGTTCAGATTCGCCTGGTTCGACCGATTCAGCAGAACCCCCCCCTATGCCTACTGGCTCTCCTGATTTGGATTCGCCTAGTTCCACCGATTCAGCAGTGTTTCCCCCCATGTCTACTGGTTTGGATTCGTCTGGTTTGCCCGAGTCCCCTCCTAGCACGTCTCCAGGCGCTCCCGGCTCTCCCACGTCTACTGACACTCCCAATTCATCTGGTGATTCGCCCAATTCCCCTCCTTTGCCTCCTGGCCCGAACAACCCTCCGTCTGGTGACTCCCCCGGTACGTGCACTCCGGGGGCTGGGGTTGATTGCACCGCACAGCCTTCCACTCCAGTTGTGACGGCCGCAGCAGGCGGGTTGAGTTTGGGTCTGGTTGAGGGAATTTTGGGATTTGCTGTCTGGCTCGTTCTGGCTCTGTAGAGGCGAAGAGACGGCAAGATTGTGTAATTGTCGAGTATGGCTTCAAGACCAACAAATAATGGTAACCAGTTAGTCTGCCAATACACGCTGGACGCATAGGCTGTTTAGTCGGTAGTTGAGGCCATGTTTGACAGGCCTTAGCCCTGCACGGAGAGCCTGTATTCCGTGTCGACGAATAGTCTCCAGGCCAACAAACAGTAGCTGTTGGTTAGTTTGCGAATACATCTTTAGACTGCTCAGAAAGCACGGCCCTTGCGTGCCCCCGCTGTACTAGTTAATTTGCTCTTGTTGCTCGGGCAAAGACGGCAAATGCCGTGCAAGTCCAAAGTGGTGAGAAATGCGGCTGTTGACACGACCGAGAGCTTTGCGACGCCATCGTGACGTGGCTAGTGATGGCACTCACTTGGGAAAGCGTGGCGGTGACAGCAGTGTACGATGTTCCGGCGCAATGGTGAGTTCTGTGGTGTTCAGTGAGCGGACACCCGGGCTGAATGCCAATGCATTTAGGGTAGGTGACGAGATTGTAACTAATCTGCGGCGGTGAAAAATTCGGCGGCGGTGTTGTGTCCGTGTCACGTGGGCACACGGCAAAGTCGGTGGGCTCACCAAGAGCGTCCGGCATTTCCATCGCAGCCGAATTTCCACATTCAACGTCAGTCGGCTCGGGGCTGAATCGACTGCTTGCTCTCTTGGTCTCTTGTCATTGCAAGGATTCTTCCCTCACGCTCTTTTCAGTTATGAAGAACAAGCCCGACTTGGAGGGTGACATCTCCTACATCAAGACGCCCAAGGCGGCGCCGTCTGCCTTCGAGGCGGCTGATTGCGGCATCCGCGTCACTCACGTAATTCATGCTTCTCGACTCCCCGACCAGGCCAGGTGGCTTGTGCTAACGCGCGATTACAAAGTCCCCGACGATCCACAACGCTCCGCTGCCGGCCGAGGGCGCCGGGAGCGAGAGCTTCTCCAACATTGTCCTGGGAGTCCTCCTGGTGGGCGTGCCGTACTTTCTGAGCCGCTGCGTGGGCGGTGGCCTCAAGACGACAGTCTTTTTCGGGGTCCTGACGCTCTTCCCCGTCCTCATCGCCTACTGGACCTACACGTCCAACTTTAGCCCGCGCATCAACGAGCGTGTCAAGCTGCCTGGCCGCCCGGTCGAGTCGTACGTGACCTTTAGGGATGCCGCCGACAAGGCCAGGTGGAGCGGAGCCAACAAGGTGCCCATCCAGACCTTTTCCGAAATGTACATTGACGGCAGGGCCGGTTTCAGGGGCGATGTCTTGGACGTGCTCGAGTACCGCCACGACTGGTCCAAGTTCAGCTTCACCTGGGATCTCTTCAAGTACATCCTGCTCACATTTGGCCCCGACGTCCTCTTCCACACAAAGGACCAGGACATGGAGCAGATCCGCCCCAACTACGACTCCGGAAACGACCACTACGCCTGGTTCCTCGGCCCCCGCATGATCTACACCAGCGGCATCGTCTCCGACCCAGCGCGCGAGGAGACGCTCGAGGAGCTGCAGGACAACAAAATGGCCATTGTCTGCGAGAAGCTGGAGCTCAAGCAGGGCGAGACTCTGCTGGACATTGGCTCGGGCTGGGGCACGCTGGCCAAGTTTGCCAGCGTGAACTACGGAGCAAGCGTCACGGGCATCACCATTGCCGAGAACGGGGCCGCCTGGGGCAACGACGTCCTCCGAAGCGCCGGCGTCCCTGAAGAGCAGAGCCGAATTCTCTGCATGGACTACCGCGACGCCCCCAGGAAAAAGTACAACAAGATCTCGCAGCTGGAGATGGGCGAACACGTCGGCGTCCGCAAGCTCACCGCCTTTTTCCGCCAGTGCTACGACATGCTCGAGGACGACGGCGCCATGTACGTCCAGCTCTCCGGCCTCCGCCAGGCCTGGCAGTACGAGGACTTTATCTGGGGCCTGTTCCTCAACAAGTACATCTTCCGCGGTGCCGATGCCTCGACGCCTCTGTGGAACTACGTCCGGTCTCTCGAGAGCGCCGGTTTCGAGATAAAGAGGTTCGTGAAGCCCCACTTGGCAAACATTGCCGATGCTCAAGGTCTGACCAAATGCAGCGTCGACACCGTTGGCGTGCACTACTCTGCCACTCTCTGGCGTTGGTACCGCAACTGGGTAGGAAACGCCGATGCCATCAACGCCAAGTACGGCCAACGCTGGTACCGGGTATGTATCATCTATTGTCCATGACCCCCCTCCGAGAGAAAACAAAGAAGCAGAAGAAGACGAAGGAGAAGAAGAAACGCTAACGTGGCATAGATCTGGGAGCTTTTCCTCGCTTGGTCCGTCATTGCCTCTCGCCAGGGAAGCGCCACGTGCTTCCAGATCCTCGTTGTCAAGAACCTCAACTCGGTCCACCGCATCGACGGTGTGGGATCGCAATTCGGCCTATCTGGAGCCCTGGCCGCCAGTCGTGCAGCTGGCAAGGCATCTCTTCCCAAGTAGCGTGAAAAGCAAGCTCGCCACCTATTGTTGTGGCTCGCTCGGACAGGTGCCATGCAACGGGCTTGGTCTATTTTTTTTTCTGTGCTCTTTTCGTTTCACTCTAGGCTACATAAAAGAGAAAGACGACAGGAGACAAGTATTAGACGCTGACGAATCGAGGACAAGGAAAAATATAGAGCCATTTTGTTCCCTTGGAAATTTACACATGTAACCGTCTTGGGGAGCGGCTACCTGGTGATGCAAGTTCGTTACATATAGACGGAGACGGAGACGGCGCGCAAGTGGTGCATCAGTGGCGGCGTGCGCATCGGCAACCCGAGCTACAGTGTCTCCCTCAACCACGCCTTGACCTTTTTGCCCTGCATGGTTTCTGTGTTGTCTCCTACCAGCATGTTATACACCGGGGCGACGTGGGCCTCGCGGTGGCCTATGAACAATTCGACGTTGGGTAGCGCGGCCTGGCAGTTGTCAGTAGGGGCCAGAAAGCACGGCGGGCAGTTTTGCCGGTCAAGGCGCGAGGCGAGGCGAGGCAGCAACTCACCTGCAGCTTCTCTGCCAGGTCCTCAATGGCGGGCAGCATGATTTCATTGCCGCCGCCCAGTATCAGGACTCGTTTGACGGGGAAGGCCGCCAGCCAGCTTCGCGGAGCCGTCGAGGCGCTCGTGAAGTAGTCCTTATCGGAGCCGCCCAGGAAGGCGCTGGACCAGGGCTTGTCCACGGCGGGAGTTATCAGATCGCCGCCACAGTAGATGTCCCTGTCGCCGTGGTCCTCCCCGATCAGGGTCCAGGGCGCGATGCCGACGGCGCCGGCCAGCGGCTCGCAGATGTCGAGCTCGGGTATGGCCGGGTGTCGGTGGGCGAGGTGAGACAGGACGCCCATGACGAGGTTTCCGCCTGCAGAGTCGCCGCCGATGAGCACCCGAGAGGGCCTTCGGCCGGCCTCGTCGAGGATGTAGCGCAGTGCCTCGACGGCTTGGGTGAGCTGGGTAGGGTGTGTGGCGCCCGGGGCCAGGGTGTAGGTCAGGACGAAGACTGCCAGGTCCTGGCCAGACTTTTGCGACGATGCGACGAGACTCTCGAGGAACTGGAAGTATGCCCGGTTTGCGGGCAGACAGAAGCCGCCGCCTATTTCGCCCGCACATCAGCCATTGCGTCAGGATGGAGAGAGAGCCTGGCCGGCGCGCGGCCAGGGCAAGAAGCAAAACAGGGACTCGGTGCGCGTACCATGGTACCAAATCAAGACGTTTGCCGCTTCTTTATTTCCGAGCCAGTGAGCGCGGGCACCGCCGGCACCCAGGGCCACCGTCTCGGGCTTGACCTTGGCAGAGCGCGCATACTGCAGGTACACGACCTCGGTCAAGGGCGAGATGAATCTAGTGAGGCGAGGCTAGAACGCAGAGCCGTCATGTCAAGCGAATGCGTGCGGTGCGGACAACTCACTGCAGTTGAAGGGGCGAGAGCCTGGACGTGGCTTTTCTCAAGACGGCGTACGCAATGTGAAGGTGCAGGCTGGGCGCGTCCCTCTGGCCCCGGAATAGACCCGTCAACACGGAGAGGATGCCCACCGCAACGACAGACGCAAGACCGGGAAGCAAGTCGAGCATGCCCAGGACGGACAGCTTTGCCTTTGATTTGGGGCGCATGGGGAACCGGGGAGGGGCGGGATGGGGTCCGAGACGCAACAGCTGATTGGTGCAGAGTCGGTTGTGAAGAGAGTTTTCAACCGAATTGGCTGAAAGTCAATGTCAGATAACCGCCCAAGTCAGACTGCGGCCCGACAAAACAGAGTTTTTATCCCGCAACGTTGGTCCAGTCGGCCGTTGGTTCACTTCAACCCCAAGACGTATTTCACCTCGGACGCGGCATCTCGTGTGGTTCCGCCGCTCCGTCTGGGAAGAGAACCGGCGCCGACGCGATGTGCCGTCACGGGTCGCGCTGATCAGCCTGGGGGACGCTAGTTGACGTATGCGTGTGTCCCTTTATCTCGCCGGGCCTGTGGTTCCGGTGCTTGCCAGGGCAAATCCTGTGGAAAAATTTGGCAAAGTAGGGCCGCACTAAGATCTGCGCATGGTGAGTCGAGGCCACACGCACCGACTCGTAACCACACCCCGCAAACTCTCCGTGTCCCCAGGTTGTGCTACCGGTGCGAAACTGACGACCGAGTTTCATCTTGTGCTTGTCAAGCGGGTGCACAACACGAGCGGGACATTGTTTACGTTGCGCGCCAACCCGTCCGCCGGCGTGGATGCATGGGACATCACCGCCGCATGAACCAGTGCCTTGACGCGTTAGGGGCGAGGAAACACGGCCCGTAGAGTCATTCGTGGCTGGTTTGGGATCAATTCCGGCGGTGCCTTGCCTGCTGCAACGACATGCTATCCTGCCTCAATACTCGGCTACGGTCTGCAGCTCGCAGTGAATCCGCGACCTGTGTACGCCTTGCATTTCCAAAAACACCACAAACTGCACCGCCAGTTCTCGGCCCCACATACCAAATACTCGGTGCACTCGTTGCCCAGGAACAAATCGTCCCGTTTGAGGGACAGAAAATCGAGCCGGGCGTCTTGCTGCCCCTCGCAGTCGGGCGATGCGTGGCCGCCGTGGGCGAGGCCGAGGGTTGTGCGTCTCAAGTTCTTCTTGGCCACGGCCAGTGAGTCGATTCGCGGCTGGAACGGCATGGGTCCCGGCGATGCGTTGATCCACGACACGGGCCGGCCGGGCTGCTCCTCGGCGGCAAAGTTGAGTATCGACAGCATGGGCGAGGCGCCGATGCCCGTGGAGAGAGGACGAGGGGCGCGCTCGACAGGTTCTTGGTGTCGAGGAAGACGTGTCCCGCCGGGTGGGACAGCTCGAGCGTGTCGCCGACCAGGGCGTTGTCGATGAGATGGTTCGACACGGGCACGCGTGGCGAGGGAAGGCGCGCTTCCGCCGCACCGTGATGCGGTAGTAGTCCGGGTTCGGGGCCTCTCTCAGCGCGTACTGCCCTATCTGCCTGTGCTCCTTTCCAAGGGTGGCGACGCGGACGGAGACGTACTGGCCGGGCACAAAGGGCGGCAGCGGCCCGCCGTCTCTGGGCTCCAGGTGGAACGAGAGGACGTCTTGGTCGTCGTAGACCCTGTCGACAATGCCAAACGGCCGCCAGCGCGTCCAGGACCCAAACGTCGCGTACAGCTGCTTCTCCCTGGCGATGAACATGTTTGCGAGCGCCCAGTATGCGCTGTTCCAGGCCATCTTGGCGCCCGGCGTCATGGACGGGTCCAGGACGCCGGTAAAGGCCTCCATCAGCTACGCCCCCATGGTTCTGTAGTGATGGGGCTGCACGCCCACGGAGCAGTGCTTCTGACAGACGCGCTCCATCTTGGGTATCAGCTCCTACAAGTGGCTCGCGTTGTTGGCGAACTGGATGATGAGCGAGGCCATTGCCCTCGGCTGGAGCTTGTTCTGCTGGTTGGCGGTGTTGAAGTAGCTGCGAAGCTCGGCATGTCCGCGCAGCAGGCTTTGGTAGAAGGAGGCGATGATTTCTTCGCCGCGGGCGTTGAGCGCCGGCACCGTTGCGCGAATCTCCTGGCACTGCGAGTTGGTCAGCGCCATGGCGTGCAGGCAGGGTGGTCGATGCAAGGGGGGAGATGGCCGGCCACATATCGTGGATACGATGATGGCCAGAGGGCGAGGCACGAACAACGGCCGCGAGTTTTTGTGCTTGTCCTGTGGGACCCCGAAAACAAGCAAAGCAGGGCAAATCGGGAGAGTTCAAATAAGCGTCCCCCAACATGAGCATGTCTGGAACGAAAAACCCGCGTTGCCTGTTCGGCCTGCCGCTCCCTCCACCCAGCATCTCACGATCCGCTTCCCGTTATTTCCGGTACCGAACGGGTGATTTGGGGTCTATCATTGCGTCATGACGGGAATCGGCCGATACCTGGACCAGATACCACCAGGCAACTCGCCGTTCCCTAAGTACGAGGCAGCCAAGGGCCGCGAGCGCTCCGACATGCGCCGCCATCATGTACGAGGCGCCGAAATTGACCGTCGACTGATGGCTTGTCGGGCACACCGAGCCGCGGTTGAGATGGCCGATTGGCGTCGCTCCGGTCGTCGTCCACAGCAATTTGTCGGCAGCCGTCTCTCCCTGGTTCATCGCCAACCTAGGTGTAATGGAAACGTCTTCAAAGCCCCAGGCCCGGCGTTTAAGCCTCCGGGTGCCGGTCATGTCGACGCCAAGTATGCCTTGGTTGCACCCTGAGTAAACACATCGTCGGCCTGACTGTAGAATCGTGGATGGCCAGGCCTTGATGGGCGTGGCTGTCGCGTGGTCGGCAAGATGATTGATATATTTATCCTTTACAAAAGAGCCTGGCCTTGAAAGCTTGGGATATTCCCAGCGAGCCAGCGCAAGAAGCTGGAATTGCCTCTGTTCATTTAGCTCTACTCTATGCGTCCTCTCACCCAAAGCAATCAACCCTAGCCCCAACCATGTTCGGCGGTGCGCCTGCCGACGGCCGGGCAAAGCCAATCAAACACCATAACTAGGGCAGTGTTTGACTGGACCGGAATTGGCTTCGTTCTTCTCAAGCTAATGAACAGATTTGGGCGTTAACGATTCTTGGTTCAGTCCGAGAGTCCCAGCCCCCAAGCCTCTTATATGAAAGGTCCTTGATGTTTGAAAGGTTATTGCTGCGGGTTCATGTTTGTTCTGTGGTACCGCGAGAGAGTGAAATACTCCCAACGTCAGTAGACGCGCGACTTCTGAGGGAACATGGTCTTCCAACCGCCGAGGGCCTTGATGGTGAGGTTTGTGAGCTGCTCACCTGTCAAGATCACACGTGCTCCCATTGTAGGCAGCTGATGACTTTGTCCTTGGTCATGAAGCCAAAAAACCTTGAAAGACGAGGAAGCGGCCCGTTCATGTCTGGCATTAACGCCGCACAATCCGACTGAACCTGCCCAGTTAAGCCAGAGTAGCCCGTGGGGGTTGTCTGCGCTTATACTTGCTCTTGTTATTTTTATCAGAGTTGATCAACTATATTGATAGGGATATAGCTGGTTGATGGAGAAGCAGCTTGGCTGTGGGAAACATTTCGCACGGAACTGTCCGGCACCAGGGACGCTGGATTGACAGGACAACGGGGCTTGGCAGTTGGAAACAAGAAAAAAAGAAAAACGCATCCTTGTCAGCTCCGTCCGGACCAGGATTGTCGCGTGTGCGCCATTTTACGCAACTTTATTGCATTTGTCGACATCACTTCGTATCCGCCCCGCGCATTGCCTTGAGCGCTTCAACCATGCCGAAAAGACGAGAGATGGCGGTCAAACCCCGTCTTGCCGTTCCCGCGGTCCTCTCAAGTGCTGTTTCTCGGTCTCTCGGGTGACAGCTTGCCCGTGGACACTGTCCTTGATTGGCCAGGCCGGTGACCGTTTTGAAACTCACGTCATGCGGAAGAGATGGCACCAGAAAGAGACAGACAGACACAGGGGCGGCGGCACCACGGTCTCATGGTAACGGCCAGCCATGCCGTGCATTGGCGTTGCAGGCGGCTCTGTTCCCAAGACGGCACGGCACAACCCCCCCGTGTGCAGTGGCAGCCGCGGATGAGATGTGGCGAGGGCCGGCTGTGAGTCGAAGGGTGAATCAGAAACGTGGGAGCAAAAACAAAACAAACCTTTTTCCTTGCCATGGGCTGGACGGGACTGGAATGGAGGTGAGGGGAGCATCAGGATCAATCTGGCGTGGCTCACGTTAGTATACCAATTGCATCTGGGCCAGCAAGCCTCTTTCACCATGGACACGCAAAAGCAGAAGCACGGTGGCGCCGGCGGAACTCGGGAGCGTCGTTCGAACGCAGATCTGCGAACCGGCGCCCCCCATCTGGTGTCGTGACGGCGGCGCTTGACCGGCGGCCAAGGTTTCTCAAGGGCAGCCACACTGCAACAGCAGAGGCAGAAGCGGCCTAGCACTGGCTGCGCTGAGTCTAGAAAACACCCCAAAAAGCAAGCCCATGAATCAAAGCATCATTCCAGCCAGAGCGGCTGTTGGGCGCCGACTCGGCGTTTGGGAGGCAGGGCCGGAAAGGAAGGGAAGAGAGGAGAGGAGAAACAAGACTACATACATGGTCTTGTACATGCTGGCGGCCAAGCCGGTCCCAGACTCGTGCAAGTCCCGGGCCAGACAATAGACTGGACGATATCCTCGTCCAAACTCGCAAGGCGGCGACGGCAAACAACACCCGTCGCATCACCATGGTGTCCCGGATCTGAACATCTTGCTCTTGCTCTTGCTCTTGCTCTTGCTCGTGCTCGTGCTCTTGCCTTTGCTCTTGTTCCCGCTCCCGCTCCCGCTCCCGCTCCTGCTCCGGAGCAGCCATGAGCATCGCCCGCCGCGACGACGACGACGGTCACGGGCCGCCGGCGACGCTGGACCCGTCCAAGGCGTCGTACGACCCGGACTGGCTTCTCATCATCGTCTTCATCAGCATCGCCCTGTACAACGTCGCCGAGCTCAACTTCCTCATAGCGACGACGTTCAAGAGGTTCCGCGGCCTCTACTTCTGGAGCTTCACGTGCTCGACCTGGGGCATCGCCTTCAACGCCGTCGGCTACCTCGTGCGAAGCGTCTTCCCCAGGCAGCACGGCTACCTGCACGCGACGCTCATCCTGGTCGGGTGGTGCGCCATGGTCAACGGGCAGTCGCTGGTGCTCTACTCGCGGCTGCACATCGTCATGCACCACCCGAGACGCCTGCGCCTCGTGCTGGCCATGATCCTGGCCGACGGCGTCTGGCTCAGCGTCCCCGTCGTCGTGCTCGTGTACGGAGCCAACTCGGGCGCCTCGGGGCCGTTTGAGCGGCCGTACTCGATATTCGAGAAGCTGCAGCTGACCGTCTTCTCCGTCCAGGAGGTCATCATCTCGGGCCTGTACATTGTCGAGACGACGCGGCTCCTCCGGCTGCAGCGCGGCGTGGGCTCGTCGTCGATGCGGCGCGTCATGGGGCACCTGATTGCGCTCAACGTCTTCGTCGTCGTGCTCGACGTGAGCGTGCTCTCGCTGCAGTTCACCGAGCACTACGACCTGCAGACGGCGTGGAAGGCGCTGGTGTACAGCGTCAAGCTCAAGTGCGAGTTCAGCGTGCTGAACCGCCTGGTCGAGTTCTCGCAGCATCTGCGAGCCGGCCGCCACGTGTCGTCGGTGCACTACGACGCCTCCACCGACGTGGCCCTGGAGCGGTACCTGCGGAACGCGTCGCAGGCCCCTGCCGGAGCCGCCTACAGCATGCAGGTCACGGCGGAGCGGCCGTGCGAGACGAGCCCTCCGGAGATTGTCAAGACCACGGCCGTGACGGTGAGCCGCAGCGGGCCGTCCGCGCCGCCGACTCGCCCGTCAACCGCGGCCGAGAGCTCCGTAGCAGCCGACAGCTCCGCGGCGGCCTGTGCGCCCGGCGACGCGACGGACGACGCCGACAACACCGCCGACGCCGACGCCGACGCCAGCGGCACAACGTCGCTGTCGTCCGAGGCACGCCTGGCGCGGCCGTGAGAGCCCAGAATGCGCCCCAAGGGACTGGTCACGTGCCTCGTGCCTCGTGCCTCGTGCCTTGTGCCTCGTGTCCCCTTGCCGACGCCAGAGTTGCCGGTGACACCCGAAAGCGTCAGCCCGATGCGGCGGTTCCAAGGCCGGCCGCCAGCCTGCCGTACTCTCGTGTCAGCCCAGCCTGCATATACTCTTGCCCACCCTGCGTCTGCGGGCGTAGGTTCCCGTGGCCCCTCGCCCGCTGCCAATATCCACGCACGCACATGCACCTATATATATACACATACATGCGTACGGAGTACATGCTCCACGCCCAGCCCACGGCGCCACCGCGGACGGTCCCGTCCCTGCTGCATTGGCTCGTTGGTGCCGGCTCGCTACCTTGGACTATTCGGGACTGACGAGTGTCAAGAGGCATTGGAGGGGGTTAATGTCGGTGTGGACTCTACTCGGTCAGCTCCTCCCACTAAGCCTCTTGGATGGCGAGTTAAAAAGACGTCGCCTGGTCGTGATTAGGCGGTGGGCCAGCCGGCGAGACAAACCTGCACATTGGCGGGGTTGGAAAGACTAAATCAGGCACGCGCTGATGCAGCTGGGTGAGTAACTTATGACTTGATGAAAAAGGGAACGCCGGCGAGTTGCCATGAGAAATCCGGCGTCGTGCCTGCGCCAGGAACTCTGCCGAAACCACCACGGACGGGGCCGCACGTCGTTGAACTTTTTTATGTATATATATGTTTAATTTTCCCTTTTCCCTCGCCGTCTGGGTCTCGCCCCCCCCCCTTTCTTGTTTTGTTTTGACAGAGAGCTTCCACATCATGTCTCTGGTCAGCGTGAGCCTGTTGGCCGCGGCCACCAACGCCAACTACTTTGCCTCGCTGGCCCCCGGCAGCAACCCGTCGACGCCGGCCATCTCGTTGCGGTCGTACCACCCCGACTTTGAGAGCGTCATCGACAGCGAAGCCAGTGCCCGAAAGGTACGGGACCTGTCCGAGGAGGCGTTCCACGAAGCGGGCGTCTACAACCCCGGAGACAACTCGCTGTACATCACGTCCAACTTCAGGCGCGTCGGGGAGCGCATCCCCATCACGGTCGTGAGCCTGGATTCGGACGACTACCCTTCCTACAGCACGCAGTTGCCCGGCCTGATGATGGCCAACGGCGGCACGACGTATCGCCCCCCGGCGACAGCGCCAGCGCCAGCACCACGCCACAACGTGACGGAGACGGCGACGACGACGAAAACGACGACGCGGACGGCGGTGCAAGTGTACTGCGACCAGGGCGACTTTGAGCACTACTCGCAGCTGGTGGCCGTGGATCCCAACACCAACGAGTCGACGCCGCTGCTGACCAACTTCCTCGGACGCAACTTTTCCTCGCTCAACGACGTGCGCCAACACCCGCAAACGGGCGACCTGTGGTTCACCGACGCGGACTACGGCTACTTCCAGGGCTTCCGGCCGCAGCCGTCGCAGCCAAAGCAGGTGTACCGCTTCGAGCCGGCCACGGGCGTGGTGCAGGTCGTGGCCGACGGCTTCGTGCAGCCAAACGGGCTCGAGTTCTCGCCCGACCTCTCGACGCTGTACGTCTCCGACACGGGCAGCCAGCAGGCCGCGCGGGCGCCCACGCAGCCGTCGACAATTTACGCCTACGACGTCGTCGACGGGGGCAGGCGCCTCGCCAACCGGCGGACGTTTGCGTACGCCGACACGGGCTTCCCCGACGGCCTGCACTGCGACACGCGCGGCAACGTCTGGGCCGCGTGCGGCGACGGCGTGCACGTCTGGAACCCCCGCGGCGTCTTGCTGGGCAAGATCCACGTCGGCGAGACGAGCAACAACCTGGCCTTTGTGCCGGGCAAGGTCTTTGTCTTTTCCAACCGCCGCCTTTGGGTCGTCGAGGGCATCAAGGCCCAGGGGAGGGAGGTGTGCCGGGACTTTGGGGTGGGCTGCCATGGCTAGGGGCGCGTGTTCCTGCCGGTCCTGTTTGTTCCGCCGCCGCAAACCTGCTCGCGTCGGGGTGGATTTTGAGAGCCGCCTGTCGGATTCCGGAGCAGCTCAGCTCCATGCCTGGCCGGACCTATCTATACTGCCTGTCTGTAAAAACATGTATCGCAGGTTGTCAAAGTGTTGCCATGCTAGCCGTGCCGTGAGTCGTGATGCCGTGACGTAACAGGGGGGGGGCAGGGGGTAGTCGAACCTCCGGCCGGGCTCGTGTGCAAATCTTGCACACTCAGAAGCCGCAACGGACGGACGGGCGGGTTGGTGGTTGGTTTCGTCCTGAAACGATGCTTGGGGCCGGGCCTGGGGCCGGCGGGTGACGTGACATTCGAGATGGGTTGGCGGGGCGGCGCCGGCAAGAGTTGCGAGACGGTGGAGGCGAACCGACGACATCTGCGGCGACGAGCAACAGGCAGCGGGCTGGTGAGAAGGGAACGGTCAAAAGGGAGACCGTCCGCGACCAGACGGGACGCACGAGACGGCCGGCGATGGAGCGAGCGGCCTGCTAGAAATAGCTACAGAATACGGGTGACGATAAGGCAGGGCTGCGCGGTCGCCCTGGCCAGAGTCGCCATGTTGATTGGTTGGCTGGTTGGTTGGTTGGTTGCGCAGACAATGCCATTGGACTCGGCTAATTGGTCGGTCGGTCGGTCGGTCGGTTGGTTGGTTGGTTGGTTGTCGTGATGAAACTGCGGGGCTCTGGGTTGCGTGTCTTTGTCACCTCCCGCCCTCTGCGCGCGACCCCCCATTCCATTCCCCCGCACGCAGCGCTTTTGCACAGACCGAAATCCCGGCTGCTCAAACTCAATCTGCGGCTACGGGCTAGTCGGGATACGATGGACAAATGACGGCGCACGGAACCGCGCACCCCAAGTCTCCCCACACAACCCCTCGTTCCAATCTCCATCGAAATCTCCGTCCGCGACGGCTTCCCCAACAATCAGGTCCAATGATGCGCATCGAGTGCCCCCCCCCGTCCAATCGCAAGCTTCTCCGTATCTTTGGCGTCTTGGTCAATCAGTCAATCACGTTTAGCGAGCCTCGGCCCTCCTCCGTATGCACATGCTTTTGTGCTTTGTCGGTTGCCGATTGTTATAAATCTCGTGCCGGCTTCTTGGTCTCGCGAGCCCAAGGGCGCGGTAGTTGCATTCTCTGGGCAGACGCCAATTGCTTGTCTTTGTGAACTCTGTGACTCTGTAAGTTCCACTGCGGTGTCCTGTCCTGTTTTGGCGGAGAGAAGCAAAACAAAGGGGCAAGGTTTTGCCGACAACCACGAAAATACCCAACATCACGCGGACTCGCCCCTGGCGAAACCACACCACACCCGGCTTGAGCACTCCCACCACGCAATCCGTCTTTTTCCTCCATCCGCCCGTCTCGCGTGGGCGTCGTGTCTTGCCCAGAGCTTGGTGCTAACCACGGCCGACTTAGATCCCGCGTGCAACGTCGACTACCACTTCTCTACCCGTTGGCATACTTTGCTCGATTTTTTTACATCACCACATAGACATGGACACGGTGGCGTCCCCCGTCGCTGACGGCCACGTCGGCAACCTGACAGCCGAGCAGGAGACCAAGCTCCGCGAGCTCTGGCAGACCGTCTTCAGGCTCTACGACGTTCTCCAGGAGCACAGCCAGAAACGGGCCGCCGCCCCGGCGCCGCCCCCCGTGGATTCGCCTAAAAAGTCTCGCCTCGGGCTGTTTGGGGGGTGGAAGGCGGCCGAGGCGCCGGCCAGCCCGGCGCTCCCCGAGGAGGCGCTCAAGCTCATCGCCTGCGACGAGGAGGACAAGTTTGGCCTGGTCAAGCAGTTCCAGCAAGTCATCGCGACGCAGACGCCCGAGTCGCTCCGGGCCATGGTCCTCGGGTCGCTCAAGCACGAGCACCCCGACGCCCTGGCGCTGCGGTTCCTGCGGGCGCGCAAGTGGGACGTCAACCGCGCCCTGGTCATGATGTTCTCGGCCATGAACTGGAGGTACAGCGAGGCCAAGGTCGACGCCGACATCCTGGCCAACGGCGAGGAGGTGCTCGTCGGCGACGAGGAGACGGGCGCCGTCAAGCCCAAGGCCCTGGCGCGCGACTTTATGAGGCAGATCCGCACCGGCAAGAGCTTCATCCACGGCACCGACCGGGCGGACCGGCCCATCAGCTACGTGCGGGTGCGGCTGCACCGGGCGTCGGACCAGTCGGTCGAGAGCCTCGAGCGCTACACGACCTACCTCATCGAGACGGCGCGCCTCGCGCTGGCGCCCCCGGTCGAGACGGCCACGCTGGTGTTTGACCTGACGGGCTTTACCCTGGCCAACATGGACTACGTTCCCGTCAAGTTCATCATCAAGTGCTTCGAGGCAAACTACCCCGAGTCGCTCGGCGCCATTCTCATCCACAACTCCCCCTGGGTCTTCAAGGGTAAGTGGCGCGCCGGGATCAGAGATGGGACGTCGCCGAGCCAAGGCGCATGCATGGCAAGCTAACACGGACGAAAACAGGCATCTGGAAAGTCATCTCCGCGTGGCTCGACCCCGTCGTCGCCGGCAAGGTGCACTTCACCTACGGCCGCAAGGACCTGGAAACCTTCATCCACCCGTCGCAGATCATCAAGGAGCTCGGGGGCGACGAGGACTGGGAATACATGTACGAGGAGCCGGTGCCGGGCGAGAACGAGGCCATGAAGGACACGGCGGCGCGCGACGCGCTCCAAAAGACCCGCGAGGACATTGCGCGCGACTTTGAGGCGACGACGAAGCAGTGGATCGAGCATCCGGCCGGCCCCGAGGCGGCCGAGCTCATGGCCAAGAGGGACAAGATTGCCGCGCAGCTCCGCGACAACTTCTGGAAGCTCGACAAGTACGTGCGGTGCCGGTCGCTGTACGACCGCCAGGGCAACATCCGCCCGGGCCAAAACGCCGTCTGGTACCCCGAGGCCGCCGAGAAGAACGCCATGGGCGGCGCCGTCCCCAACGGCACCATTGAGCAGATCGAAAACGCCCCCTTCAAGGTCGCCGCCGAGGTTGCGGCCTAGATGGCGGCATGTGAGTCGCGACTGTACAACAACGACGGGGCCCAGTTCAGCGACGGCATGGCATTATGACTAGACATGGAGATGGGGGGTAAAAAAAAAAAAAGAAGCCGTCTCTCTTTGAAACACGCTGGGCGGTTATTTTTGTTTTGTTTTCGTTTGTTTGTTTGCTCGTGTCAACGGTCAATATCTACTTTGCAACTTTGCTCGTGCGTGTCAGTGGTTTTTTTTTTGTTTTTTTTTTATTTTATTTTTTTTTTCACGCGGGCATCTCGGCACCTCAGAGCAGTAGGTGTGTCATCCATCGTCTATAGTATACCTTATTCCCACCTCCAAGCGCGTCGCTGTTGTGCCCTGGCGGTCCAGGACATGCTGCCTACCCCCGAGTCAGATGGACCGCAGCCCCTGTCCTTCAAGGGTCCTCGGACTGAACACGTGGTGACCGGCGGCTTTGTTTCGCGTCAAGGACGGCCGATCACTCCCGGCGTGTCAACGTGTCAACTCGCGGCACGCCTTGCCGGTGGCAAGACAGTCGCGGCCGGACTCGGCAGTCTGAGCAGCAACGACGACTCTGCCGGAACAGCTGAGAGGCCGGAGCGTGGCGGGGGTATGTCGTTGAGGATGGCTAAATATCTGGTTCGCCCGCGTTTAGGATAGACGAATTCGTCGGCGTGTGTTTAGACGACACGTTCAGTGGGCCGTGTTTAGAAGGCATGTTCGTTGAGCCGTGTCTAGAATACTTTATTGAGACGCATGTAGGATGCATCCTTGTTGAGCTGCGTTTAGCACAACCCGTCCAGTTGCCCGAGCACGCGCCGCGAGAAACCAAGACCACCCGGAACGACCGGTTCAAATGTTGACAAGGGCGGGCCTGTCCGCCACGGAGCCGACGACGGAGTCGGATTCCCGTCGGGTCAGCGCGGCGGTCTTGCTGTTTCGTTTACGACACTGAGTGCTGTGCGATGCGTCGAGTCGTCGAGCAACTGCAGGTGACGACGGCTCGCGAAAGCAGGAGAACCACGCCAGAACGTGTCCCTTTTCTGTGCCAACATCCAACATGTGCTCTGCTCTCTTGGCACGGGCTGCGTCCTGCCAGGGCAACAAACCCGCTGCTGACAAAATGGTGCGCCTTGACTTGACTCGGGCCTCGTCGTCTGGTCTCGGGTGCTGGTCCTTGTCCGGCTGCTTTCGCATGTCCGGCATCGCATTCTCCGCACACACATGAATGGCGTCTGCTCCAAGAGACCCAAGGGACCCAACTCTGGCCAATCCTCGACACGGGTCGTTGCCATGACTAAATCCTCGAAATAAGCCAGTGCTAGTCCTGTCTGCTCCGTATCGGAATGCGGATCCGTCGCCCCTGGACGTGGACCCTATGGGGACCTGCGAGCAGACTTTTTCAGGATTCTCACCCCGGGGGGGGGAAGGGGGGGGACGTCCGTGTCGGGGTCGGGATAAGGAGAGTCGAGTCGCACTGCGGCCGCAAACGAAGCGAGTTCTGGCCGTCGTCGGAGAGAGGGAGAGACGACAGAGAGACGACAGAGAGAGCGACGGCAACACCGCCGCCGCCGCCGCCGCCAACATGAAAGCAGCACTCCTCGCCCAGACGCAGCCCGGTCGACTCGTCCATGCTCGTGGCCACGGCGGACGAAAAAAGACGGGCGACCCCCGGGTGGTGGTTTAATCTATGCGCCTGCGCGCCCACCCCCTGCGATTTCGTTATCTTTTCGCCATGGAGACTCCATGACTCGGCTTTCGACGGCTCTTTGGGAAAATTTCCTCACGCCCGCCTTGAGATGGCAGCAGGCAGGCAGGCAGGCAGGCAGGCAGGCAGGCAGGCAGGCAGGGAGGGAGGGAGGGACGCCTGGCTGGCGGCCAAGGACAAAAGCAAACCATGTGTCAGGTCTGCGTTTGCGGACAAAGCTGCTCCTCTCGTCAACAGCGAACACAGGCCTCAGCATCCCGATCCATCGTGGCCATGGCTAAGCAAATCTCCAGCGCCGGCGTCAAGGCCGCAGGGCCAGGGCCAGAGCCAGAGGCGTCCCGCGACGTGGGCAAGGCGGCGGCCGCGACGATGATGGCCGGGCCGCTCGCGGGCGGCGACCACGACATGGTGGGCGAGACGAGCGAGGAGATGGACCAGGAGCGGCTCAAGCAGATCGCGGCGGCGGGCAACGCGCACTTCCACCGGCTGGGATGGAAGCGGCTGGCCGTGGTGACCATCGTCGAGGCCGTGGCCCTGGGGGCGCTCAGCCTGCCGGCGGCCTTCCACACGCTGGGCATGCTGGCGGGCGTGGTGCTGACGGTGACGCTCGGCTTCGTCGCCATCTTCACGAGCTGGCTCGTCGGCCAGGTCAAGCTGAGGCACCCCGAGGCGGCCAGCTACGCCGACGCCGGCAGGCTGCTGCTGGGCCGGCTCGGCTACGAGGTCTTTGGCGCCGCGCTGGTGCTCGAGCTCGTCATGGTGGTCGGCTCGCACGCGCTCACGGGCAGCATCGCCCTGGGCAGCCTCGCCGGCGGCGGCGGCCGCGTCTGCTCCATCGTCTTCTCGGCCGTGTCGGCCGTCGTGCTGCTCCTCCTGGCCCTGCCGCCGTCCTTCAGCGAGGTGGCCATCCTGGGCTACGTCGACTTTGCCTCCATCGTGGCCGCCGTGGGCGTCACCGTCGTCGCCACCGGCGTCCAGGCCGCCGACGGCCCCGGCGGTCTCGCGGCCGTCGCCTGGTCGGCCTGGCCCAAGGACGGCGTCGGCTTCTCGCAGGCCTTTGTGGCCGTCAGCAACATCATCTTCGCCTTCAGCTTCGCCATCGGCCAGTTCTCCTTCATGGACGAGATGCACACGCCCGCCGACTACATGAAGTCCATCTGGGCCTCGGGCCTGATCCAGATCGCCATCTACACCCTCACCGGCGCCCTGTGCTACGCCTTTGTCGGGCCCTCGGTCCAGTCGCCCGCCCTGCTCTCGGCCGGGCCCCTCGTCTCCAGGATCGCCTTCGGCGTCGCCCTGCCCGTCATCTTCATCTCGGGCTCCATCAACTCGACCGTCGCGCTGCGCTACATCCACGGCCGCATCTTCCGCGGCTCGGTCCTGCGCTACGTCAAGACGCCCGCCGGCTGGGCCACCTGGATCGGCCTCGTCGCCGTCTTCACCCTCTTCGCCTGGGTCATCGCCGAGGCCATCCCCATCTTCTCCGACCTGCTCTCGCTGGCCTCGGCCCTCTTCGTCTCCGGCTTCTCCTTCTGGATCCCCGCCATCATGTGGTTCAGGCTGCTCTGCAGGGGCAAGTGGTACGCCGGCGGCAACCTGCTCATCAGCCTCGGCAGCATCCTGGCCTTTGTCATTGGCGCCGTCACCCTCGTCGCCGGCACCTACTCGACCATTGTGGACATTGTAAGTCGTCAAGTCAAGACTGGAGCGGCGCCGGAGACCGGGCCAAGTGGACTAACCATGTGTCGCTTTTGCAGATCAAGGAGACGAGTGACGGCTCAGCCCACAGGCCCTTTGCCTGCCGATCAAGTTAGGGGAACGCGCACACGCACACGGATGTACATCGTGTTTAGACTGTTGCGTTGACTGTAGAAAATAAAGCCGGCATTTCCGTGTCTGTCCTCTTCCCTCCCCTGTTGACGGCCCCCCCGAACCCCTGCGTAGTTGTGCCCATCGTCCATGTGCCGTAGGGGGCTGCCATCGCAAAGTCGACCCGCCAGCTTCATAAATACTACATGCCCCGGCACAAGGTCTGGCTGCTCGCTCGCTTGCCTTGTGGCTCCCCGGCCCTCGAGCCGTAAGTGACAATGGTCGCGTCGACAACCCCATGTCTCCCTTTTCCCGTTGACCGGCTCCCGCCGAGAGCCTGGGTACAGCTCTCCATGAACTGCACGGCTCATTGTTCACGGCGTGCTCGCCGCGGTCGAGACTCGTCACGTTGATGTTTTACTTGATGAGGAGAATACGTCGTCTGCGCCTGGTGCCCAAGACGCATGTTGGCACATAACTACAGGACACGTCACCCGTCACTCGTTCAGTCAAAAAGTAAACACGCCGTCCGCCTACACGTGCCGTCGAGACGTATCACGTCAAAGCTTTAGCCGAGAGCACAAAACACGTTTCGATTCAGCGTCTGGTTTCAAACTACACAAATGGTTTCAATGCGAGCGAGTGGCTGCCGTCAGAATCGACAACACACAGGCGTGTCCAAAACGACGGGGCTGTCCCTTGCCCGCTCGGCAAAGGGCGAAAATACCATACAAGCGTAACCTCATCCTGTGGCTCTCGTCTGCTCAGCCGGGCAATGGATGGCCCCCGCCCGCCTCGACAGCGGAATTCTTGGCGGCGCGCAGGTGAGGAGGCGGCGGCGGCGGCGGCGGCGGCGCGGGAAACCTTGTCGAGCCCACTCACGACTTGCCCGTCTGCTGGTTGGCCTCGTGGTACAGGGGCGGGCATGTCTCGTTTCGATGCCAGAGGAACCATCTCCGAAACCACCACGGGAGCACAGTCCCGAGCTGGTACTTGGCGTGGGTGCGGTCGGGCACGGCAAAGACGTAGTCGAGCTCCTCGAGCGTCTTTTGCTTCGTCTCGGGGACAAACAGGAAGATGAGCACGAGGGCCACGAGGTTCAGGCCGGCGTAGAAGCCAAAGGCCCCCGTGGGCGTCATGGCAATGAGCATGCGTGGAAAGGTGAGCGAGAGCACGGAGGCCCAGAAGTTGTTTGTCGCCACGGCCCAGGACATGCCGACCTCGCGGTTCGACAGCGGGAACACCTCGGCCGAGTACATGAAGGGGACGGGGCCCTCGCCTGGTCCGCGACGGCTTGTCAGCTTTGTTTCCTCTTGTTGCTCTGCTTCCTGCGCCTCCTGGCCTGGTACGGGGGCGGCGAAACCTACCGGGAGAGTAAAAGGCGGCAAACAGATAGACAAAGGTGGCGACCGAGGCGATTCGCGCCGTGCTGTTTTCAACGCCCTTGTCGATCAAGTAGCAGAGACCGGCGACTGTCGGCGAGCGTCTGGTTAGCGCAGGGGTCGGGGCGAGGCGAGGCGTGCGTACCGAGGAGCGTCCAAAACATGTTGGGAAAGGTAAAGAGCAGCAGCGCACGTCGACCAAACGTGTCGATGGTCCACACGGCCGGCCAGGCAAAGAGAAAGTTGATGAGGCCGAAGCCGAAGCTCGCCCAGAGGGCAGTGTAGTCGTCGATGCCGCTCTGCTTGAAGATGGTGCTGCTGTAGAAGGCGATGATGTTTACTGTCGGGGTTGGTTCGCAGGTCGGTCAGCTTGCCGGTGGCATCACAAACGTGTCTGGGCGGCGCGACCTACTTCCGCACATTTGCTGGGCAATCATGACGATGCCAGACGCCCACGTGGCACGCCGGATGCGCGGGATGGTGAACAGCTCGACGAAGCGGGTGAAGATGTTGCTGGTGACCTTGAGGCCGGCCTCCTTGACGAGCTCGTCCTCCTGCTCCAGCAGACAGTGGATGTAGAACATGTCTCGGGCCGCCTGCATGGGCGTGTTTCGGAGCTTGAGGAGCGACCTCCAGGCCTGGTCGTACCGCTTCTTCTTGAGACACCATCGGGGGCTCTCGGGGCAAAAATAGACGCCGACGACCAGAGGCACGGCCGGGATGAAGGCCGACGCGAACTGCAGGCGCCAGGCGATGTCGCCCGTCCTGCCGACGGCGAGGTTGGCGCAGGTACCCAGGAAGATGCCTGCAGAGCCGGCGCGGTTAGCATTCTTCTGCCGTTGACGGGCGTGGCGCGTGGGCGGGAGTTGCGCAGAGTTACCAAAAGCCGTCCACATCTGCCACGACATGACGAGACCGCCGCGGATGATGGCAGGCGAGTTTTCGGCGGAGAAGACGGGCACGGTGACCTCCTTCAGGCCCATGCCGATGCCGAGCAGCATCCTGTGTGCGGCGCAGAGAGAGTTAGAGTTGGGAACAAGAGCCGTCTGCCACCGGCAACAACGTGTCTGGCCAGCATCCGAGACAACCCGGCAAGGCTTGCTTACCGGCAGGCTGCGAGCTGGCCCCAGGTCTGAGACAGGCCCATGCCAAAGGGCGCCAGCAGGGAAAAGATGGCGGCGATGAAAATGACGCCCCGGCGGCCGAGCAAGCTGTTGAGGGGATCGGAAATCCAACCCGCGCTGATGTTGTTGTTGCGGTCCGTGTCAGCCTGGCAGGACAGGACTTGCCACTCACGCGCAGGTTGCGATTCACTCACAAGAGACAAATGGTAATGTACGGCATGGCATTGATGAAGCCGATGATCCAGCTGTTCGCGGCGCAGTCGCCTTCGCTGGCCACGGGACCGCACGAGGAGCCGGCATTGTCCGGGATGCCCAGGGCGGTTGGAAAGCTCAGATTGGCACCGTTTGAGCCCGTCTAGGTGGTCACTGGAATCAGCCTCGGGTTTGTCAAACCAGCGAGCACGGCTGCTTCTGCTGCTGCTGCTGCTGCTGCTGTTGTTGTTGTCGTGCTTACCTGATCCCACCCCTGGATGGCCGCGGCAATGGAGTTGAGGATGATGGTGTAGTACAAGGGCCAAGGCTGCTTCCACCTGTGGCTTGTTTCCTCGCGGAGAGCAATCTTGTCCGACTCATCCAGGTCGTCAATGGCCTCGAAGCCAGCGGGATTCTGGGCAACCAGCGCGCCCTTTCGCAGAAGCGGCAGCACGTCATCCGGCAGGCCCTTGTCCTTGTGGAACCGGGCGACCTTTTCGAGGAGCTCATGGCGAGAAATGTCCCTGAGGGGATTCTCGATCTCGCCCTCGACGTTGGCAACGAGGCTGACACGCCTTGGGTGTGCAGTCTTTGCATCTCCCACGGCTTGGTCGACACTGTCGCCGGTCTCGGTGTCAACAAGCAAAGTCACGACTCGAATCCGGGCCACCAACATTGGACTCACTCGTGGGCCACTACGGCCTTTTCCGGAGCGTCGGAGCCCATGGTGAAGAGCCAGTCTTTTGCGCCCAGCAACTACAGCTCGGCGGTTTGGGAGACGCGTGTTTGGGTTGACGATGCTCGATCTGGCTCCAAGTCCAACGGAGGAGGGACACGGAGGAGGGGAAGAGGGCTCAGAAAAGAGCCGAAAAACTCGCTTTATTGACATCACATCCTCGGCTTCTTCTTGGTGGACATCCTTTTTTTGTTTTTATCAACCGCGACGCCACATCACGCAGGTGGCTGCATTCGGGGGTGGGCGGACGAGCTTTCTGGCATCAACCCGACTTATTGTTGCACCGCTTCTCTGCCAGATCCAGCTAGGCTACTGTGACACCACGGAAGCTGGGCCTATGAGACGATTTGACAGAAAGGCGACGCCCGTGGCTGGTCCGTCAGCTCGCAGCACGGGCGCGGCCGGATGTGGTGTCATGGGAAGCATCTGACCACATGACCCCATACCGTAAGATTTCGAGGCGTCAAGCGGTATCAAGTACGGGGCACTCGATGCTCGTCGTCGGCCAGCTCGACCATGAGCCGCGGCAACAAGACTTGACTCTGCAGTCTGGACGACGGTCCTTTCCCACCCCCGGACGCTGCCGGAGTCGCATCAGCGGCCACATGTTGCGGTTTCCGCGTCACGGACAAGAGAGCGTCGCACCAGCATGCATACACGCGAGCTTTAGGCAGCAGCATTTCTACTGGCCTGAATAAACTCGAGGGGGCGGGGAGGGAAAATTGCAACGGGCAACCAACGGCCGGGGCTCCGGGCACGGATGGCATGGCATGGACATGGACATGGACATGGACGACGCGAGACAACTGCGCCATTGTGATGGCGGCATTACGTCCCGCACCAGTCGGCCGTGAATCGTGCCCTGGCTGGCATCTTGTCGAGTCCTCGCCATCCTCCTGGCTCGTGGCGAGAGCTGCCAGCCCTCGCCGGCGAGATGCATGCCTCCCGGCACTCAGTTCCCCGGCTTGTACTCGGCAGTCCAAGGACTGTACTCGTTCCTCGATACCTCTGCCGTGACGGCAGTCCATGAGCAAGGCTCGGCCCCAGTGGAGACGGAGAGAATCAGAATTACCACATATCAATCGCCCATTGACCGAGTAAATGGCTCCATGAGGCTGGCAAAGCTGCTGCCTGGGACAATGCGTCGTTTCGGCGACGCCACGAGGAAAACAGTCCGGCTGAGCAGGACAGCTACAGCTCCGTGATCCGAGCCATCGTGTCGAGGACGCTGGCAGAGAGTCATGGTGCCCTCCTCCCCCGTGGGGTTGAGAAGTTGTCAACTGTGCGTTGCGTGCCGGAGCCCAGCCGCACTTGCTGCGCCGCCGTGGGGAAGCAGGAAAAGACATTGTGATTCTCGCTCGGTCGAGGGCGAGGGGCGCAAACGTGGCTTTTTGCGTCGTGTCTTTCCCCAGATCCAGGGCGCCAACACGAGGGCTTGCCGTGGCACCCATCCTATTGAGACGCGGGGCCTTGATATTGTGTTTGCTGCCCGCCTCCCCATGTCGAGGTATTGTACTGGACTAGAAGTCCTGGTAGGAGGCTTCAAACTGGATCCCGTTGGAACAAGGCTGCCAAGCTACTCCGTAATCGAAACAACGTGGCACGGCGAAAACGATGGCATCTGGCACGCGAGCGCGTTTCCGCCGGCGGCGTCGACGCCTCTCATCGTGGGGAATCAGAGCTGGGGTAAGAAAGTCTCCGAGCCACGAACCCATTGCTGTATGTACCAGCCGTGAGGCATAACTTATATGCTGAACCAGAGGAAGAGGTTTTGTTGAGAACATGACATGTACCAATACATTCGCTCGTGTGGTATTGCACGTCGCCCAATTTCCACGCTCCTGCGGAAAATTTAACAAAGATAAAACAAAATTATGAATCAAATCAATTGAACACAGCACATAACCGAGTGGTCAGGCACCTGGGGGGCAGCCTCGCACACACAACTACGGAGCAGGGCTAGGGCAGCCCAAAACCTGGCCCGTCCAGGACACCAAGTCTGGTGGCAACAAGATTCAGCCGTGGCTCCATCGAAAAGGGCTCGACGTTCTACGCCCAGGCAATGGAACCCTTGGATCGAGAGGGCTGATGATGTGGCTTCAGGCAGTTGGTACTCGGCACTCCGTACGGAGTACCTGTTGCTCATCCACCATGTCCAGCAGGCAGCCGCACAGGTCACCGTGGAACGAGGCGGGCTTGTGCTAGAATTCAGCCATGCTTTCGAGGATCGGCCCACTGGATTCTAACAGCTTCGATTTCGTCATGGCGGTCGCGGCTTCAACTGAAGTGGCTGCCTGTTTCATGTCAGCAGTGGGCTGACTGACTCTTGCCAAACCGTGAGAATAGCAAGCCGTGGTCGACCAGAGTATGCCAAGAAAAGGCTGCCGACCTTGGGCTTGAAGACGGCTGAGAAGCGCAAGGCTCTCCATGTCGTCGGTCCCGACGTCTACATTGCGGCTACTGTGTGCAGAGGCCAGCCATATGCAGGCTGCAAGAATGATGGCATCGCCAAGTCTATAAAACGTCGTACAAATGCCGTCTTCCGCCTGTGATGAATATTCACAGACTCGGATCCTAGCCAGCAGTCTCTCGGCGTGACCACGTCCGACTGTGCCAATTGTACCAGGGATTCCATACAAGAGCGGACGATACGGGGCCTTTGAAGGAGTGGTTGACCTGAGCTTCGCCAACATCAGCACCCGGTATCATCAGCACTCCGGGGCAAAGTCGCCTCGTGCGCCGTGGCCCGTGGCCTCCAGGCCTGGAGGGACAGAAGACAGAATCAACGACGACAAGCGCACCGTTCGAGAAATTCGTATGCTTGCTGGCGGCTGTCCAGGGTGGGAGGACAGCCTAGTATGCGGTGATGTGACTCGAGGGTACCACGTCTTTGTTGTCTCGCCGGAACGTGTTGGACACCGTTGTCGTGCTCTCCGGTCCGGACATGACTTGACGTCTGCATTCTGGATCTATATCCATCAACCCCCGCATTCTCGCCCCTCTGACGGTGAAGCCTCAGCTAGCCGTCATGATGGCTGCCGAGAAGGCGTCCGAGAGAAAAGACAAGCGTCGTGTGCGGTGAAAAGTGAAACTTGGAAACGGCACCAGGAGGGAACGCCAGAAAAGAAAAGAGGCCGCTCATCCGACCGTGGACAAGCCAGTATCAACCTGCTGCGATTGGCAATTGCAGAGGACGGGCGCGGATTGGCATCGACGGCAGGCCCAGGCCCGGGAAGAGGCGCGCCCTGCGAGTTGGAAGAAGAGAAGAGGAAAAGCCAGAGGCAGGCGGTTCGAGGAAAGGATGCCTGGCAGGCGGCCAGACCGGCCCGTCCCGGCCCGGCCAGATGCAGTCTGCTGCGACTGCGGAGAGCCACGGCAGGGCTTACGCGAAAACAGTGTCAACGAGATCAAGTCTAGAAAAGTGCTGATTCTTTTGCGCAATGTATTCGTCGTGCGCAGCAACTTGTCGAGTAGGCAGAGGAAGAACAACAAAACAGTGCCATGGCAATCACCATCGCTGTGGTCTAGGCCCGTCCCTCGCCCGGCCCGGGCTGGAAGGCATTTCTGGTTTCATTAGCCAGGGACAGAACGTGGACCGGGCGCCAATGTCTAATAACCCATGTATTCTCCCAACGCTTTACATCAACCGTTTCTACGCTACTGGTGTCCCCTCCTTGGTCTCCACCTCACTCGCAGTAAATCGAGCCCTCGTACTCGGAAATGTACTACCGTCCAGCTGCGGCAATCTTCACGCCCATCTGCCTCGCGTGCTGAGCCATGAGGGCGTCGGCAATAGTCAGGGCGGCCATGGCCTCGACGATGGGAACCGCGCGGGGAGTGACATTGGGGTCGTGACGGCCCTTGGCGGCCAGGATGCCCTCGCCCGAGGCGTCGTAGCGAGCGGTGGTCTGGTCCTGGGAGATTGTGGCGGGGGGCTTGAAGGCAACGCGGAAGAAGATGGGCATGCCGTTGGAGATGCCGCCCTGGATACCGCCCGAGTGGTTCGTCTTGGTCTGCAGGCGGGACGGAGGAAGGCCGGCGCCAGCGCTCGGCATCGCATCGTCGGCGGCGGCTGTGGACACGAAGGGGTCGTTGTGGCGGGATCCGCGCATCTCGGCGCCGCGGAAGCCGGAGCCAATCTCGAAGCCCTTGGTGGCAGGAATAGACATGATGGCGTGGGCGAGGAGAGCCTCAAGCTTATCAAAGCACGGCTCGCCGAGGCCCGAGGGGCACCCGCGAACGATACAAGTTACGGTACCACCGGTAGAGTCGTGCTGATCGCGGAGCTCGGCAATCTTATCCTCCATACGCTTCGCGACTGTAGCATCAGGGCAGCGCACGGGGAGGAACTCATCTACCTTCTCGCGGGTTAGGGAGTCGACAAGCTCGAGGAACTTGGGGTTGCTACTGAGGGAGTCGACATCGTCGCCGTCGGTCATGGGCCTGTCCTCAAAGAGCTTGATGTTGCCAACCGAGGAGACAAAGGCAACAATCTCGACGCCGTAGGCCTCGCGCAGCCACTTCTCGGCAACAGCGCCGGCGGCGACGCGGGCAATAGTCTCGCGGGCGCTGCTCCGGCCGCCGCCAGAGGAGGCCTTGGTGCCATACTTCTCCAGGTACGTCCAGTCGGCGTGGGAGGGGCGCGGGTAGAGGTCGATGGTCTTGGAGCCGTAGTCGCGAGGGCGTTGATCCTCGTTCGGCACAGTCAGGAGTATGGGTGTGCCCAATCTGCGACCCTAGGGTATTAGCATCGTGGCAGACATCATGACTTCCTGTACTGTAGGGTTGTCACACGTGCGCCCAAACTCGCATCCGGATCCGATAGTCACGCGGTCCTTCTCGTCGCGCGGGGTGGTGATGGCCGACTGGCCCGGTCGCCGGCGGTTGAGCTGCGGCTGGATGTCGGACTCGACGAGGGACAGGCCTGGCGGGCAGTTCTCGATGATGCAGGAGACGGTCTTGCCGTGGGACTCGCCGGCGCTGTGACGAT